GCCCATTTGACCATGCGCCCCGACACTTCCATCGATGTCAGAATCTTTTTTAGCGGGAGGTTTGTCAGGACGGTGATCTGGTGCGCTTGGAAGTACGGGCGTAGCTTCTGCGACGCGCTCACGAGCGCCAAGGCAGCCTTCTCGATCGAGGAGTATCTTGTTTCTGCGCTTACAAGAGTGCGCGAGGTGTAATACACCGGTCGCTCGGTCCTGCCGTCTCTTCGAGATATTAGCACCGCACTCACGGCCCTTGTTGACACGGCGAGATACAAGAAAAGTTTTTCATTAAGCTTGGGGGCCGTTAGTACAGGGGGAGATACAAGATACGCCTTTAGCTCTTGGAACGCTGCTTCGCATTCTGGAGTCCATGCGAAGCGCGCCCCGTTCTTGAGCGTTTGGAAGAAGGGCGCGCACTTGTCGGCAGATCGCGGTATGAACCTTCCCAGCGCCGCTATTTTGCCATTTAGGGACTGGATTTCCAGCGCGTTCCGGGGCGCCCGCAGCTGTTGGACTGCGGTGATTTGCTTTGGGTCGACCTCTATGCCGCGCTTGGTTATCATGAACCCGAGGAACTTCCCCGCTTCCGCTCCGAAAACACACTTGAGTGGGTTGAGGCGAAGGCTGTGTTGGCGGAGAGCTTCGAAAGTCTCGCGCAGGTCCTGCAGGTGTGACTTGCCCGCTTTCGTTTTGACGATGAGGTCGTCTACATATGCCTCGATGTTCCGCCCGATCTGTCGCGAGAAGACCGTGTCAATCATTCTCTGATATGTCGCGCCCGCGTTCTTTAACCCGAACGGCATCCCCACAAAGCAGAAGTTTCCAAACGGTGTCATGAACGACGTCTTTTCTTCGTCTTCCACTGACATGGGGATCTGGTGGTACCCGGAGAACATGTCGAGGAAGGATAACGTCTCGTGATCTGCGGTTGCGTCGATCAGTTGGTCGATGCGCGGCAGTGGATAAGGGTCTCCTGGGCACACTCTGTTGATCGTGGTGTAGTCGACGCACATCCGCCAGGCCCCTGATGACTTCTTGACCAATACCACATTTGCCAACCACTTTGGATATTTCACGGGTCGGATTAGCCCGGCTGCCAGTAGGCGCGTCACCTCCTCTTCTATCGCCTTTAGCTTATCGCCCGTGAAGGACCTCCGCCCCTGTTGCCTTGGCTCTGCGTTGGCTGGCACTGCAAGGCTATGTTGGGCTACCTCCCTGGGCACTCCTGGCATGTCTTCCGTGCACCACGCGAACAGTTCCTTGTACTCCTTCAGCAGTGCCACGAGCGGCTCGATTGTGTCACTGCTGACGTGAGTGGAAATGCGTATCTTCCTGGTCGGCTCAGCTGGATCTAGCGCGACCTCAAAATCGGAATCCATCGACTCCGGTCGGGGTTCTTCCGCCCTTGTGTCGACGATGTTGGTTTGTCGAGTCACGACGCGATCTTCCCACGTCGTTCCCCGGGCTTCTCCCACTCCTCTCTGTGTTGGGAACTTGAGTTTCTGGTGGCAGGTTGATGGGAGAGCCAGGAACTTCGCAAGGAATGGCCGGCCTAGAATGCCGTTGTGCGCCGATTCGCAATCGACAATCGTGAACTCTACCTGTTTTGAGGCGCGAGGCTCCTGGTCGCCGACCACCACAGGGAGGGTGACCACTCCAATGACCGGGACTTTAGTTCCGGAGAAGCCCACTAGGTTGCCATGCGCGCGCCTGATTAGGCGCCGGTCGATGTCCATTTTGTCAATGGTACTCTGGAAGAGGATGTCAGCCGCGCTACCTCCGTCTACCAGGAGGCGGTGGGTCTTGCAGGCGGAGATTAGCGCGGTGATAATGAGCGGCTCCTCTGATGGGGTTCCTTGTGGGAATTCCGCGTCGTCGAAGCTCAGGTTGAACCTTGACGGCGCGTCGGTGGTCGCGCACTCCATCGCGCGCTCCCGTTTGGTTTTCTTCTGGGGGCGGTCTCCTTCGACCGTCACCACCCCAATTTCCTTGCGCACTACATATGCGCCCGTGTCATCGTTATATTCAGCTTGGGGCGGTGGCGGCGGCGGGTGCTGTGGGTGCTCAACTTGTTCTTTTTTCACGTGAACAAACTCGGTCAGCAGCCCTCGCTGTATGAGTCCCTCTATTTCGTACCTCAGGTCCCGGCACTCTTCTGTTCGGTGCCCCGTTGCTCTGTGGAATTCACAATGCCTATGTGGATCGCGCATGTAGGGTTGGGATTTCAACGGGGCAGGCCAGTTGATCTTGTAACCCTTCTCGCGAAGGACATGGAACACATTCCTCATTGAGTCATTAAGGGGAGTGTAGGCGTTATGCGCGCGCCTGTCCGGCGATCGGCCGCGTTGCGCCTGCTCTGGTGGGGGAGGAGGGGCGCGCTTCGGGCCACTGTGCATCTGTAGCAAGTGGTCTCGTGGGATCACGGCTGGAGGCTGACGACGTGCCTGTTCTTCTCGTGGCATTTTCGCCGGCTCAAAGCGCCTGACGGACCCTGCCCCCAAGGTTTCTTCCAACGTGATCGCCTTTTCGATCTTCATCTCCAACTCTGTCGATAGCGTGACGGGTCTCTTGGCCAACGCCCGCTTAAGCTCCATATTGTTGGTGGCCTCCATGAGGTGATGGGCGGCTGTTTCGGGGGTGAGGTCGCGGACGGCCATTGCTATCCTGGACCATCGGGCATAGAAAGTTCTCAGGTTTTCTCCATCCTTTTGCCTGATATCTATCAGGGCCTTGAGGTGAAGCGGGCGCCGTTTCTGGGACGCAAACTTCGTTGTGAACAGGAGTATGAACTCCTCGAATGAGTGGATGATTCCATTTGGGAGGCGGTTGTACCAGTCGAGGCATATGCCGGTGAATGTCGACGGGAAGGTTCTGCATAGCGCGGCGTTGGAATTGGTCTGGAGTTGCATGCGCAGGCAAAAGGTGCTTACATGGTCTTCTGGGTCGGTCGTGCCGTTGTATGTCGGGAGGGCGGGCGTCGCTCCTGTTAGGTTCTCCGCCATTATCTGCGCGCTCAGCGGCTGGTGAAGGACTCTTTTTGCCGGGTTGGGTCGGTACTGCGGAGACAGATGTTGCTCTAAGAAGCTGAGGTCCGCCCGCTCTGGTGGCTCGATCCCCGGCGCTTCGCACGCGAGGAGTTCCGTCGCCCCGTGTTGGGGTGGCTGGGCTGTCCCCGACGTTTCTCCCAAAGCCTGTTGTGGCGCTACCGCCAAGGTTTGTCGAGGCGCGTCCGCCACCGCACCAGTCGCTGCCGCGCTATCCCTGCTCATCATGAGCGCGATAACTTGGCTCATTTGTTTCTGCATGTCGGCTATGACGTCGTTTTGCTTTCTCACTAGATCCCTCATTTCTTTTGCCGTCAGTTCGGGCTCTTCTTCTTCAATGAGCACGGCGCTGAGGTTGCTGGCTTCCGCGAACATCCTCGGGTCGGTCATTGCCTTGACTGGTGTTGCTTGGTCAGGCTGGTCGTGGTTGCGCTCTGCCATCGGGGGATTTTCTTTAGCGTTTCTCCTTGGCCCCACGGTGGGCGCCAATTGTTTGAACCTAACTGAGTGTAGGAGTGAGGTTCGAATGAGAGTTTGGGTCAAGAAGAAACGCCAGCGTCAAGTTCGATCGGGGAGAGAGGAATTAGAGAGTTGAGCGAGGACCGGAGTCCAAACTTTTAGAAAGAGAAGTAATTGTTATAGAGAGAGAATGGTGAAAAATGCCATCCCCTCACCCACCGTAGTAAATGCCGTATTTATAGGCTTCTTTGTGGTGGGTGAGTGGTTGACCCAAGTGGGGATACAAGATGTGACAATTGGGATACAATGATGTGACCACTGGCACATACTAAGGATTTTAGACCCTGTCTCGGCCATCCCCCTACCTAGGACGTGTCAGAGATTTGCCACTGGCCTTGATGTGACCACTTCCTGGGGAGGAAAGCTACGCCTCCCTCCTCTCTTGGCTTTTCCTGCGCTACGCTCTTCCTCAGCGCCTATAACTCACATCGCGCACAAACTCTTCGCGCCAGGACGTAGTTGACTACGATGAGGTGTCGCGCTCGGGGTCTTCGCGCTGCTATGTCGGAGTCCATCCAGTTGCGTCCGTTCCTTGACGCGGCCAGGCCCGAGTCACATGCCCAACACCTGTTATTTAGCTCCGTAGTAACTAACAAAATGACCATTTTTGTTGTCTTTATCAAGTTTAATATCCCACTTAATCAAAGAATATATTAAAGTACGGCACATATAAACTCCCTCACCGTTAAGTAGACATTAAACTCCCTTTCTCCCATTTGTTGTTTTTATACGTTAGGGTTCACGAGCAATCTTTCTCCCGCCAACCTGTCATAGTTCGTACCATGACGATCAATGAAGTATGGGTATTGTTTGGGTGGACATGTTGGACTTTAGAGTATTCAGTTGACTTAGGCTGGGTCGAGATCAAGTGTTTTTAGATTTTATTTTTCGGGTGAGGTACATTGCTTGTTTGAAAGAAAAAAATCAAATAATTCTGATAAGTCAAGTGATACATATTAAAAATCAAAGTGTTGAGTTCATTTTAGCAATAGCCTTAAAATTAAGTGTCCACTTTCTATGCACGAAATGGTAAAAAATGGGAGCGTGAGCTCCAAACACCAGGAGCTAGCAGGTGGCCGTGAATCTTTTGAGTGCACTGAGCCTTCGGATTTCCCCATGAAACCCTCCTGATTCTCACTTTTCTAATTCCCTCACAACTAACGCCTACCCACCCAATATCATGGTCAGTTCCTTCTTCATGCCTAAACTCTACCTTTGTCACTAAACTGGTACCCAAACTTCTACTTTCTCCTTTCTCCACTAATTAAGACCTAGGCAGCAGACAAGAGCTATGTTATCTCCAAGTTGGCTCCAACCAGTGACGGAACTAGAAATCTAAGCGAGGAAGAAGAGAAAAAGAAGATAAAGGCATTCGAACTATAGCAGCTAGGTGTCTAAGTAGTGTGAAACACCGTAGCAAGTTAGAGGGGAAACAAATAAGCTCGAAGGACTTGAATCCTAGTGATTAAGCGTGGAGGCTGAAGTCTTTCCAGTTAGCTATATGACCCCCCCCCCCTTGTGAATAGTTTCACAGCTGGCTCCAACTACATCGATAATGTAAATACAATCACCAAAACTATGGTTGAGAAAAATCATTCGGCTCGATAATTGACCAAACAAACACTCTATAAAAGCAACCCACTTTCACTTTTTCCCAAACAAACAAAAAAATGGTGATGACCGCCTGCTTCCTCGCCGCCGACTCCATTTCCTCCTCCACCGCCAAACCCCGCATCCACCTCCCTTCATTCCAATCCCCTTCCCTTTCCAAACCCTACGCCTCAGCTCCTCCTCCTTTTCCTCCCCTATTTCCTTCCGCTATCTCGCCAATCGACATGACCTTCTCCCTCTGTTCGTTCCTTCCGTCTCGCTCACCAATAGATTACCTGAGATGAAAGTGGAGAAATCATCATTCCTTGAGACATGTCAACACACTTTGTAAAATCATGAAAACTCCATCATAGAAGGAAAACATGACTATACGATTATTGAAACCTAATACGAGTTTGGTAAGTACAATGCGCATGAGGTTGAATCTCAGCGAAATAGATACACATAACTGCACTAGTGAAAGAAATGCAGTCATGGTCTCTAGCCAACTAGCATACACACACCGTTATGGTAAAAAACATATATGAGGTTAGCTACAAATAACATAGAAAATACACGCTTCGTTACACTTTCTATACATTGTTTGAGAGTACGAACTAATTTAGGTACCAAAACGTAACTTCTTTTTTGCAACCCACCCAATTCATTGGCCCAAAGGCCCAGACAAACAACACAGGTAAGAAGTAAACGACAAAGCCAAAACCCCTAGGGCGCTAAAACCAACCGAAAAACCAACCGCAAATTAGGCAGAAACAAGAGTATATTAGCTCACATCGCATCGCAAGCTCGCCAGCCAGCCCACAGCGCAGCAGCAGAAAAGGAAGACGACCCAACGACTTCCTTCCCCTTCCCTAACCTTCCTCCCTTCCACAGTTTCAGACCAAACAACACTCCATAAAAGCAAACCGCTTTCACTGTCCGTCTTTCCCCTTGAACCAAAAAAACTTCTCGAATCTCTGCTTTCCCCAAATCAATGGCGATGGCCGCCTGCTTCCTCGCCGCCGGCTCCCTCTCCTCCTCCGCCGCCAAACCCCGAACCCACCTCCCTTCTTTCCAATCCCCTTCCCCTTTCCAAACCCTACGCCTCAGCTCCTCCTCCTCCCCTGTTTCCTTCCGCCATCTCACCAATCGACAAGGCCTTCTCCCTCTGTCCCTTCCCTCCGCCTCGCTCGGCGGCGGCGACGGCGGGATCAACCGGTTCCCTCCATCCGGTGGCGGCGGCGGGGGAGGGGACGACGACGGAGGGGAGGTATTTCCCTCTGATGGGGACAATGCAGGGGACAAGAACAGGGTAGAGGCGATGATGGTGCTGGCGGAGGCCGGGAGGTTGCTGGAGAGCCTGCCGAAGGACCTGGCGGCGGCGATTCAGGACGGGAGGATTCCCGGGGCGGTGGTTTCGAGGTTTTTGGAGCTGGAGAAGTCGGGGATGATGCGGTGGCTGCTTCAATTCGGTGCGTTCAAGGAGAGGCTGCTGGCGGATGATCTGTTCTTGGCCAAAATCGGGATTGAGTGCGGCGTCGGCATCTTCACTAAGGTAGGAAAAAAAAAGAAGGGAATCGGCGATCTGTTGTAGCTGTGGAGTCCAACTGTTTTGTTTTTGTTTTTGTTCAATTGAGAAAGCCCTTTTCATCATTGCTCTGTTTCTGGTTTCTGCTTTTTTCTCGTTATAGTGTCAAATCGTCAATCTGGATTCTGCTTTTTCATTGTCGTTGCCAAGCTTTTTCACCCTGTTTGGCCATTTGGCCAAAGCTCGCATCTTTTTCAACTGGGATGTGCTGATCATTGGTTGAAATTGGCCCTCATGCATTGCTTAGTTAATGTTCTGTCAAAAGATTTTTACCATTGTTCAGTTTAACTGTCAATTCTTGCTGAAAGTTTTAACCTTTTGTTCATTTTTTCGCCCTCTTTTTGGAATACGCCCGGCGGTTAGACTGCTGCAGAGTACGAGAAACGCAGAGAGAATTTCTTCAAGGAGCTGGAAATTGTGTTTGCTGATGTGGTTAGTGGCTCTCCACTGAGAAGAATTATGTTTTTGGGATGATCTAGTTGCTTTAATGATTCATCTCTCACTCAAGTTGTGTACATTTTGCGTATTAGGTGATGGCCATATGTGCAGATTTCATGCTTGTTTTCCTTCCTGCGCCTACCGTCTCTCTCAGACCAGCTCTCGCAGGAACTGCTGGACCTGTTGCAAGGTTCTTCTATGGTTGCCCTGACAATGCTTTCCAGGTAAAAAAAAAAAAGAAGGCTTAACTGTATTCTCTCTTGCCAAGTTATTGAGTTGAATGAGGAAAGGAACTTAAAGGACTCTTCTTTTCTATTTGGCTCTGCAGACTGCTCTTGCTGGAACTTCGTATTCATTTGTGCAGAGACTAGGCTCAGTTGTGGTAAAGAAAATTTTACTTTTTTTGCCCGAGTTTCAACTTGGTTTCTGTCAATGCTTATCAGTCTTTGTTATCAGTACTTCACACTCTATGTCTCTCCATTTTACAGCGAAACGGAACAAAGCTCTTCGCTGTTGGCACTGCATCTTCCCTGGTAATCTTTTTGTTTGCTTAGATGTCGGTTTTCTCTGCTCTTTTACATCGCCTGGAGCAATTTTGTAACCTAGTCACTTCTCTATTAAGTGTTGAAAACTGTTTGGTGGGGGGACAGCGCCTTTTGAGGGCCATTAGTATGGCAAAATCTACTGCAAAATTAGTTCATTGAAAAATATTGCAAGAGATCAGAACTGACCAGGAGCAAACTTAGAACAGAACTCTCATCTGTCCGTTTTCCTTGTGAAATTCATAGATCACATATTCACTTAACTCTGATTTTGATTCCCTAAATGGTTGTAGATTGGGACAGTGGTAACAAATGCACTGATCAATGCAAAGAAGGCTGTGGACAGTACTGGTGAAGTTGAAAATGTGCCTATACTCTCCACCAGTGTTGGCTATGGTGTCTACATGGCAATTTCTAGCAACCTCAGGTTCGTTAACATATGAATTTCTTCTTTCCATTTCCTCATTTTTACATAGGAACTAGTAATGGATGTGGAAGTTGTCATCGGTCAGCTACTAGATTCACATGAGAGATTGATTCTATGGTGCAGGTACCAAATATTGGCTGGCGTTATCGAACAACGAATCTTGGAGCCTTTACTCCACCAACACAAGCTCATGCTCAGTGCAATCTGTTTCGCTGTTCGAACAGGCAACACTTACTTGGGCTCACTATTGTAAGTTTCCATCCTTGTATAACTCTCCGGCAAGCTTCTCGCACATCTATTCATTATTCTCATGATGATTCAACTTTTTTGAACCAGGTGGGTGGATTATGCTCGGATGATCGGTATCCAGAAGGCTCAAGAAGAGCATAATGAACTGGCTTAGGCAAATGCAAGAGCTCAGAACCTTGTGTGGAACTTTTTTACTTTGCTTGACCGCCCATGTTAGTGTAGAGCATGAAGACAGTAGGTTATATATGAATTGGCATTTTCCCCCGGGAGGAGATTTAGACGGCATTGCTTTTGGGAGTTCGTATACGTCTGAAATTAGTCGATCAGGCTTGTAGTTGATATTGGTTTTTTCGGCTCATCCACTTGTTTTGCTTTTTTATCATTCTCCTGATAAGTTGAGTGTATTGATTTCAGACACCCTGAATTGTTCAATTTGATGGTTGGAATTGGAGCAAAAAGTTATATATGAAGTACAATAACACAAGGGATTTGATGCATTTCCTTTTTTCGCATTGATAATATGGCTGTCACCATTGTTTGATTTCTTTACAGTTGAGTTGCAGGTAAGCTGATTGCATCCATTTGATCAGCTCAGATCATGCATTAGGAGTTGCTAGCTAGCGGGGCAGGTTAACGGAAACATACCCAGAAACAGCTTCCTAATAATTACGTAGTTCTTTGTTTCAACAGCATTCTTCTTTCAGGTGGCGATCGAGCCATTTCTAGGCAACGACTTCATCTTTCTGGCAACTCCTTATCGTGACACCCACGACAGTAGTTCCAACCTTGTGATCAACGTCACAACATTCCATCACACCAGCCTGGGAAGAATAAAAACACACAGAAAGAAACAACTTCATATCAGGGGGAAAAAGAACACACTTGAATATCTACAGAACAGAACAGTGTCAAAACTCACCATCTTCCGAGTCCTCCCTGGAGAAACCACCCGAATCTCATCCACAGGACTGGCAGAGTGGTTCCCGGCCAACTCACAAGGCTGCAAGTTAGCTGGCCACTTTCGAGCATATCTAGTGACGACTTGGTTCCCTCCTATTTCAGACGTGTTATTGTTCTCCTTCCAGTCGTCGACAGACTGGAAGTAGAACACGTGGGGGGACTCACAAGCGTTGCCATTCGGCCACCTCGTGTTGAACATGAAAGCCGGGTACTTAGTGTTCCTAACCCATGCCTTGAACGTCTCGAGGGGCTTGATCAACGTGCTTCTCGGGATGATGTTCTCGTATATGTAAGCAGAGTAGCCCCAGGAAACCGAGACAGACCAGTTGCTCTGCCTGTGATAGCAGATAGTCTGCTGAGTGAGACGAGATTGGTCGACTTCTGCTGCTTTCATGAGGTGTCGAATGGCTCGAGGGCGGTCCATGGATGGGAAGATCGGATCTATCATGTCGAAGTGGTGGAGGGTTACCAAAGGGGCTTGTGGATGTGTCGATAGAAAGCCTGAGATGTCACCATGGAGATCAATCTGCAATGGTTGAAGTTCTTTGTGAGAGGTTGTTTGAAATGAAAAATGGATGGATCGAAATGATGATTACTTGATCACCTGGTGAATCCCCTTCTGATGAGCTACAGCAACTCCAAGATCAGCCAAACAGGACTGAACCATATGGTCACTAGAGAACACTCGTGTGTACCTCTCGATGCAACCATCAAGCTTGTTCGACAGTGCCTCGACTAAAGGCCAGCTCAATGCATAGCCAGCTCCACCGAACCCCATGTCGAATGAGAAGTCGGCATTGGACCTCACACTCTCGGAGTTGCCTCCAATGTAGTGGTACTTGGTGTGATCAAACTTGCTTAGAACCTCCACCAAGTTATCCACAAACACCAATGTGTCATCGTCGCACACTACGAACCACCTAAGCCCTTTGTTAGCCTGATCACCCTGTTGATACATGTCGAGGATGGCTCGAACCATTCGGACCTGAGACGAGTTGACAAGTTTCGGGTAGACCTTTAGGTTGGTGAAATTGCTACTCACTCGGTATGGTGGGGAGGTGGCGGGCCATGGTAGGAACTCTGGCGTGGGCTCCTTGTCTAAGAATACATAACCTTCACATGGCAATAGAATCAGTTCAAGATGGTTCTGATTTAAAAACACTTCTCATTGTTTATGTTGGTTGTTCGAACAGTAGCCATTACCTCTTGTCACGTTTGTTCTCCACCAAGGCTCTATGTAGTGCTTTCTCCACCTCCAGGTGCGCAACGAGCCAATCACGACGAACCCCACGTGGCTGATCTCGGTTGGCGAAAGATCCTCTCGATCCGATGGAAGAAAAGTCCTACTATCACCACCATGACTACCACCAGTGCTCCATTTGTGAGGAAGGGTTAGAAGAGGAAGGATAGTAGTAGTGTTAGCATGGTTATGGAACAATAAGGTGTAGAGCAAGAAGAGCAGTAGCCCTGAAAGGAATATGCTTTTGCACAGGACATCAAGATGGAGCTGTTGAAAGTACTTGTGCTGCATTTTGTGCTGAAAGAAGTTGAAAATGAATGACAGTGATCCAACGAGGAAAAGGGTTGGTTTTGGCTTGACTTAAATAAGACGTTTGGCCGGTTGTAACAGAAGGGTAACTAGAATTGATATAATAACTAGGGTAAAAATATCATGAAACATTCTCCAAAACCCTAACTTGAAGATCAAGGAAGGAGGACATGAAAGGAGTACTGCATGTCTACAGCATTATGGACAATGTGAAGCTGGGTGGGGAATCAAACAATCATGAGAGTCTCTATGGAATGCTTTCTGTGCAGCTTGTGGGATTGTGAATGACCGTTATGAACTTTGCAAGTTTAGTTTGTTATAGTAATCAATTGGGGAGGGACCTTAACGGTTTAATGGCTTAACTAAAACCTGCATCTTGCTGCTGCTGCTTTGCTAAGCAGGAGAGGAAGGCGTGAATGGATCACGTGAATGACAAGGAAAGCCAAAGGACAATATTTACGACCCGTCCCAATGTCATTTCTGAATCCAGACTTTTCATAGCTCAGATCCAGGTCATTCTGCAACGTCAACCTGCTAAGTACTCGTAAACATAACAGTCATAAACTATGGCAACTAGCAAGTACTAAGGATAATAATTATTTTCAAATGATCTGCAGTACTTGGCAGAAGCAAGCTATGAGGGTGTTTGACTTCTTGACCAAACAGTTTTACATAGTTTTCCTTACTGGAAACTGGACCGAGTCTTCTGGTCTTTTTCCTTTGCATGACAACGAAGGGTTCTGTTTGACCCTTTTGCAAGGAATGCATGTGCAGAAAAGAACCATCCTTAGTTTCACCTATCTCATGGTACACACATGCCCATGTTGGATAATAATATGCTCAACTTGGCTCAAACTGATGCAAAAGAAAAGGTAAAGACTTTAATGGAAGAGTGCAAAAGGGAGAATGTTTGCATATCCAACAACCATACCAATCTCACAGACAAAAGCTTCTCAATAGGATTGTTCATATGCAAATATTCCATCTCAACAAAGTACAATTTCCCAAATCGGCCACAACACCGGACTGCAGAAGCGTTCCGAAATCGAGACCTTGAAAACAGGATGAATTGCTGCAAAGGAGTTTCCATACACAAGATGTATGAAATCCAAATATCAATCTTATTTCGCTTCCTCTCTACGTTACAATTCTACGTATTTTAATAAACTGTAAGCTCTATTCTCTACATTACAGACCTAACAAATCCAGTCGCCAGTTCGATATCCTGATGTATATCAAGTCTCATTTCCTCCTACATTCTTTTCATCATCATAATCATGATAATTAAAAATATCGAACATTTAACTAACTTACTGATCTCATGATTCCCGTGGCCCATCGAAAGACTGAGTTTTTCTCAAGTTCCAATGGAGTCCCTCATGGATGCTGCGAAGGAAGTCTCCCATGGAATCCGCGGAACAGGCAGTGGGGACAGGCCAGGGCGCCATGCTGCACACAAGAGCATCGCCAGCTGCCAGCTGTTTCCTGTCCTTCCCATCAAAGGATGCCCAAGCAGGGCTCCTGCTATTGAAAGGAACTTGCACTCGTACAGTGACGTTCTCTGGAAGTATCAGAGGCCGAAATGACAAGGAATGCGGGCAAATTGGTGTGAACAGAATCCCAGGCACCTGCAAATTGGAAGACACCAGATCAATAAATAGATTTACGATTCACCCCTCATCTGCCCTCAAGATAGAATGAACTGAAAATTTCCAAGTGGCGAATTTATGTGTATACCTGTGGGTGAACCATTGATCCTCCAGCTGCCAACGAGTATGCAGTGCTTCCAGATGTAGTGGATAAAATCAAACCGTCTCCTTGAACAGTCGTGACAAATGAGTTGTCACAGTAGCATTCCAGATTCGTAAGGTACGACGATATCCCGCGGTCAATTGTTACCTCGTTAAGCACGAGTATCGGTTCCTCAGTCTCGTACTCGTTCTTAGCTGCATCTCTAATGACGTAGCACTGCAGCCTGTGCCGCAGTGTTATGCTGACTGGACCCCTCAGAATAGAATCTAGGCAATCCCTGTAGTGCTCACTATCTAGAAATGATAATGTCAAGTACCCAAAAGTGACCGTTTTTTGTCCGTCTTTAGATGAGCTTTAAGAAGTTGACTAAGTAATCAATGTAAAAGGATACGGAATGGTGTCATGAAGCCAAGAGAGCCTAAAGAGAATGGGACGATAGGAGGGACTGGTCCTTTGAACATTGACGCAGCCTGCAAATAAAGAGGATGAATGATATATCAATTATAACGATTAAAATGGAACGGGCAAGTACAGATATTATGTAAAAAGGTAAACAAGACTTACCCAAAGAACAGTGCCATCGCCACCAAGAGTTACCACAAGGTCAACCTTTGAGTGCAGGCGTGAAATTTCTGAATCTGGATATTCGAATATCAAAACCCAAAGGACTCAAATCATGAGGCTAACGCACATGTGTTCAGTGAAAAATCCCAACAAATCTTAGGCATGATAAAGAAAGATGGTCCCATAAAGCTTTTAAGATTCAGAATGCTTGAAACAACTAGCTGTAAGATTACCAAACAAGTGTTTGAGAATATGGAAGGGAAGTAAAACAGCAGGGGCTCACCATCTTTCCAAGTCTGCACGAAGCTGAAATAAGATGATTCAGCCAGAAGTTCAGAGATCACTCGTGGTTCGACAAAAATATTCAACTTCTGATGCTCTTTCAACCATCTGGATATTGACAATATAAAAATCAGAGACAGGAAAAGATTTCTGTTTGGCTTACAGTCTTTTCAACCAGAAAAAAACTTCAGTAAAAATGAAACCTCCAGAAAAAATGGTCACAATTTTGATAAGACAGGAGAATACAATCGAGATAGCCATCTCTAACCAAAAACAAATTACACCTCATCATATTATACTAATCTTAAAATATATTAAAGCAGATTGAAAATATGACCCCCTCCACGTAAGCCTCCAAGGCTTCTCCGCAATTCTCGGTTTTATGAGGGTTTTAATATTTAAAAAAACAAATTCCCCTTAAACCGTTTCCTCGCCAACTGATTTTTTTTCCTCCCACTATTTTTTCTCTCTCTACCTCAAACTTATCTCTTCATCTTTTTTCCTAAGTTAATTTTTATGGTTAGTTATACTAGAATCTTGGTTCAGATGTGATTCAACCGTTTCATACCGCTAAAATCATATATAATTTGGAGTCTTATTTTTAGAAAAGTAGTACGAATGTATTGACCAACCGGTCGAAAGGAAATATTGGATATCAAATTTTAGTACCATGAATTTAGTATCTTGGTCCGGACGGTGGTTCAACCGTTTCATACCGCTATTTTGAAACAAACATAACAGTTTGTTTGGTTATCTCATCATTAATAAACAATATTTTATAATATGAACTTTTTTTCATAACAAATAGACATTTCACTTATCATATACAACTCAAACATTAGATATTGAGAACAAACATACATTCATGTATCAAGTATAAATAATAAATTTGATTGACAAATTTGGACTGAAATTTCAATATTTCATAGTGATATTTTTTAAACCTCCTAGAAGGATATGATTACAAATAAGAGAGGTCGAATTATCATATTTCTATATGATAAATGTTGGTAGATTTTTTTAAAAATTAATGTCACATGTAAGAGGGCAAGGGATTTCGTTTACTCTTTTGCCTGATTTGGAGAAGGTGTAAAAATAAATTATAAAAATGAACATATCGGCAATTTCTGATAAGCCTATCGGCAATTTCTGATATTCCATAAATAATATTTGACTTCTTTTCTTCCTAGAAAAATGAACATGTAAAAATAAATTATAAAAACAATGATTGAATTACGATCCAATAAACCTAAATTGAAAAACGTTATAATAATGTTCTTGAAAATTAGTTGTAAAAACACAAATGACTTAAAATAATTAAAGTATGCATTTAAATTATTCGATCGATAAGATAAAATGCAAAACTCACCCGGCCAACAGGCCGGGCACAAATCTAGTTGGTCATAAAATAAATTCAACTTTTATCATTTCGAAGGCACTGGACTTGCAGGTCACTCTGGAAACCTAATTTTAACTTGGGGTGTCATCTCGTCAGACAAGTATAAAATGTTAGCTAACAAGCCAATTCTTAGCAGAGATTATCGCTTGAACGAAGCTCCAGATAATACTAAAAATATGATGCAGGAGTTGGAGAATACAAGTCAAGAGATTAGAATCCTAGCACATCAACAGAAAACATACTGATGCAGCAATGAGAGCAGGAAAATATAAGTTTTCGAAACTCAAAATGCTTAACAAAGAGGAAAGCATGTATTCAGACCTGACCATTTGTGCACATAGAATGCGAACAGAAACCGAATTTGGTTTGGTCAAAATAAGCACAGTCTGTGGGTTGGACTCCCACTTCAAAGAAATCTGAAAACAAAACAAGGTGTTGTTGCCATTCAGATCCATATAAATGAGAATGTACACAAATAAGTACGTGGAATATCCTGAAAAAGTGACATCACGTAGTGCATGTAACTATGTAAGTACTAATCAGTATCCCGTATTTATAAATATTGTACATGGTTTTATGAGGGCAACATACTACTGACTCTAACAACTTAATTCAATCAAATCCAATATCGGAGAGCAAGAAAGAATACCTGCTTACTGGTGCGCCCTGCAGTTGTGATGTTTCCTTTTTCAAATGATACAATATCGTGTTTGTGCTGATCGCCATTATCCCCCTTGCACCACCAGGAAAGCTTGAAAGATGCCTGTTTCAGGGTAGAAATTTGGACGACTGAATTAGGTATCTTCATTGCACTAAAATTATCTTAGGATAGATTATCTCGAATTCTCAGTTCAATCATCAAATGAGTTGACCTAGACAACAATTATTATGCTACAACTAAAAGGCAGTCACACCCAAAATAAAATTGTAATATCAATCACCTAGAGAACCCAAAATGAATTACCTTTCTCATCATTCTGTTTTGAACTGCTTTTGCTTCAGGGCTGGCCGCTCCATCCTGTAGAATTTGGTGAGAGCAAATACCATTTACCAAGAAGTCTTCAGATTTTCCGTTTGTCTGATTTCCTGTTCCAGATAGGTTGGTTGAGGTTTCTGGTCTTTGACAATCAATATCATTATACTGCTCCCGGTGAGATGTTTCTGCAGTACAACCTGTGGAACTCATTACTATAGAGAGGAGGAAGAAAAAGCAATGGACAGTCCATGCTATAGAGCAAACATTCATTTCAAAGTTGGCATATGCTCTCTCTTGGTTGGAGTTCATCTCTCAAGTTAGGACCTACACTAAGAGAATATACTTCCAAGAGTCATTGCCACAAGAGATCAAGAAGATTCCATCCAAAAAGAGGGGGGGAGGAGTAAGGTTAAAGGTAATTGTTAGTTGCAGTTACATCAGAAGGCAATGTTCTGTAGAGAAGAGTTCAGGTAGGATATCTACATAGTCAATCAAACATATCTCATAAAATCCTACCATCAGTAAACCTATCAGAACAGAAGAAGAGTATTCTATCTTTAGCATAAAAGAAGTTACAGAAGTTCATAACATCTGTTTCCAGTGAAGCAGCATCCCTAATGCTGATGGTTGAAAACTATGCATTCTAGGAGTTATTTAAATGTTTACTTTCACAAATTAATAACCATTATGCAAAAACAGATAATGACACGATTCTTGTGATGAAAATGAGTAATGTGGTTTCATTGAAAGCAAAAGCAAAATACCTTCAGAAAAACTCCTATTTTGTTCTTTCAAAACTTTGCGGCAAAAAACACAGGGAAACACTATTCTTATCATGTCGATGGCACTAAAAGCAGATGTTGGAGTCCATCTTTGAAGCATTTCACAGAAACTGGAGCCTGATATTGGAATAGCCATAATCTGATATAATGAGTCCAAATTTTGATTAGCTAAATTAATCCAAGTATTCGTTTATCAATACATGAAAATCCAAAGGAAAAGAAAATATGAAATATCAACAGACTTGATGGAGGAAGAGAAATAAAGCCTCAGAAAGATTATAAAATTCCGATTCAAGAAAAAAGAATGATCAATTAGAGACGAATAAGTATATTATTGAGGCACTTCACTAAATACTGAAATGATCACCTTAAATTCCATTCATATCAATCTGACACCGGTTGCATATATGTTATTATTAACCATTACTAAAAACATCTCCATTATATCTCTGCCTCAGCAACAACAGACAAAATGGTATGCTGTCATCATGGAATTCAGCAAACAGACACTTCAGCGACTAACAGCTAGAGAATTTCTATAAGTATGCTGGTGTTCTTGGAGAGCAAAGAAATCCCCTTGTATTGCATCGTTTTAATGGACTAACACGGGCATGAAGTTAGGTGGCAGTCAGTACAATATTGTTAAGCCTGAGTATTTGTAAATCTAGGTTAGCACAGATCTTTCAACAGTGTCTAATGTTCCATTGGACAATTCTCATACAAGAAATTCGGATGAAAGCCTAATTCATTACCAAAGTACATATGCATGGGGCAACTAAGCAAGTGATTTAACCATTCAAAAAACCTTTATGATTACGAGCCATCTCCAGTTCATATCGACGCTTCCATTCAGCAGCTTCGGCCTGAGCTGAAGCCTTTCCTTCAGCTGCTCGTCTCAATGCCTTCGCAACAGCTATTGTGCAAAAACCATATCATAATTACATCTCCGTATACTTGTACTAGAAGGAAAATTGAAAACGGGAAGTCTTGATGCCTACTTCTTAGAGCCTCAGAAAACTCTATAAGATGATCATCAGTGCCTAGGATTGGAGTCTGCTGAAGAAGCTCCTGCACTGCCTTCTCCGAATGGAACAGCGACAGTGAATCACTAAATTCGCTGACTCCGTTTTCAGGACGTGAGCATGGGACATTGGCATCACCAGAAGCAACCTACATTAACAGAAACAAGATAAGTTTCAAGCGCCTAAGTCAGGGAGAGATCAAATTACATATCACACAAATCAGTAAAGTCCACCAAGTAAATGAGCTTCAAGCTCCAAATGAACAACAAGCAGATTCACGGATTCGAAAACCTAACCAGGATCGTTGGAAACCAGAGGAATGAATCTCTACAACATTCATTCCAGCCACACTACTCTAATTCTGATGATCAAGGAAAAAAACCCTGCCATTAACTCTTCCAAATCAAAAGCTAAGACCTTTAAGCCTCTCCCACACACACTCTCCGTCGACTCAATCAGCTAGGCAACAAGCTAGCAAACTCCGATTCAACTTTCAGAAAGCTATGGCAAAGAACAGATTAAACTACCCAATTCGAAAATCAATAAAAACCCCAATGGTACACGAAACCAAACCGATCATCTCAGCAGAATTCAACGAACCCAATACATAAGGAAAATCAGAAAGACAAGGAGAAAGGGAATTACAGTGGAATGGGGCTTGCTGGGAGCCATGGCTGAGTTCGCAAATTTGAAATCAAACCGAAACCCAGAGAAGGCGAACGTATAACGACGACAGTGGAATCGAGAGAGAAGAGACGAAGGATGGAGATTCCTCTCTTATAAGGGCCGAAAATTCTTCACTATACATAAAAATGGGGACTTTTTCGCTGCTGATGAAATACAATCGGGTCAAGAAGAAGGTTAGGTAGGAGGGAATTGATGGGTTGTAGCCATTGTCCCACGTCCATCGACCAACGGCCGCAAGCGGCGGCGTAAGAGAAAGGAAGAAAATAAGAAGTGAGATTTCCCTGTGGGACCTTGTGTACAAAATACTATAAGGCAATGTTAAAATACAGCTTTTGCCACGTCAGCACCTGCTGAAACTACCGCACAGTGCGGAGGGTTTTATCCGTCAATTCACTAAACCTTTTTTTTTATTGGCAAACCTTTTCTTTTTCGCATTCTGCCTCCTAACTCCCACCGGAAATCGATCTTCCAATCCCTACCGTAATCGAAGACCTTCATCTCGCCGCCTTTGTGTTTTTCGCCGATAGCTCATGCAGCCCTCCTCTGCGCCGGAATCGAAGATCTTCCTCTCAATCATGCCCATATATTTTCGCCCAAGACTGATCGAGTCTTCCCAAACATTTAATCTTCCAATCTTTGTAAGACCTTCATCTCGAGGCTTTGGTGTTCTTTCGCCGATAGCTCCTGCATCCCTCGACCGTGCCGGAGTCGAAGACCTTCCTCTCAAGCCTTGCTCTTCCCGTCTGTCTCTAATCGGAGGGCCGACATATTGCTCATCACCGTGTTCGACTCAGGCTGGCGCATTAGCCTCAGCTAGGGATTAATTGGAGCAATCTCCCTGCAAATGTAAGTTTCTATTAAGTGGGTCTCTTCTGATTTTGGCTTTGCGAGGTCTCTAAGTGGGATTATCCATCTCTTTTTCCTCTGTTTTTGCTTTTCTAATGGGCATGTCATCCGATTGACTTCTAATCCCCGTCATCAAATTTTTGTAGGTCTGCTACTGTTGGTGTATGATTTATTGATTTTGATGTGGATTGAGATCCAATTTCTGCATTAGGAAGGAGCACAGTTTGTTGAAGGATTAATCTCCCATTCTCCCCTGAATGATTGGTTGCCTTTTCCAGGGAGATTTATTTGGGTCCTTATTGATTGCAGTAATGGCCCCAAAGCGTTGCCGCGGTGATACTTCTTCTAACCAGAAGAACACTTCATCTACTTCCAGCACTCTCAATCCATGTAATGTTCTCATTCTGAATTCATTTTGATGTTATGTGAAGATTGTATGTTTTATATATGCAGAGAGCCGTTTAGTGATATGATTTTTGTGCTCTATATATGTCTCGCGTCAAGGTCCAACACTAGCGAAGTTGACGCTGAGCGCGCCGTCTTTAGGGTGGTAAGTAAAGTTCAGTAAAAATATGTCTTTGATTTGAAGTTGCAGTGGTTCTTAGTTGTGCTGCCTCTTATTGTTAGTAATTGACAAGTTGAAAGTCCGTATCGCTAGCGTCGATTGCCTTCTTGCGACCTTAGCTAGGAGGAGAAGGGAGTTCCTTTTGGTGGTACGTTGTATGCATCGAATGCGTGTTGTTTCGGTCCCAAGTATGTCACTCTCCACCTTCAGCTTATTTTGGCCTGTTATGAAGTTTCCTTTCTTGAGTTGTAATTTATTAATTCTAATTTCAAACCATGATAATTTCAAAGCAATGTCGTTCTGCATTTATCATCATTTTATTCAAGTTTCTTTCACCTTAGATCCCTTTGTTGTGTGATCAACTTTCCGTCTTCGATTCCAATATAGATAGAGGGATGCCCTTCGCTGTTAAAACCAGTTTGTTATTAGCAAAAACAGTTCAGTTTTAGATTTTAATGTTTGGATTTCTGGATTTTACTTATTATCATTTTGTTTTCACTGTACATGCGGAGTTTCAATTTGATTGAATGCTTTGTTGTGTGATTACTTTTCGGTCTTCGGTTCTAATGCACATAAGTAGTAATCCCCTTCTCTGTTATTGTTTATTATTATTGATTTTTTATGGGAACAACACGACCTCTATAGGCATAAGAACCTTCAAAAATGCTTTTATAGTTTTGGGTGTCAAATGCTTCCGAATTGAATACAATTAAATGCAGTAGATTATTTTCCAGATCAACAATATAACAATAGTGGGGAAGTAATAGTTCTCTAGCCATAACCCAAAGATCATGTTTCACCTCTCCTAGATAAATTTGCTTCTTCATTCATTGTCATGTTTTTCGAATCATAAAGGCTATTAGGTGTGGTTTCTTTTATTCCCCATATAATTATTCTAAAATGAAATTGGGGTGCTTGGGAAGTGTAAGAGATTAGAACCCTGATAAGAAAGACAATAGTTCCAACAATAGATAGCAACTTTACATTAATTCATTTAATAAGGAGAAATTGTCATGTCCTCTAACTGTATTTGCTACATGTTGACTGTTTCTATCGCTGTACAGTATATGATGTTCCTTTGAAGGCCTTTTAGGCTAATAGGAGATGGTTTATTCTAGGAAAATAAGAGGAAAAAGGATCCTATTCCTCTGCAGATCCAGCAAGTTATTAATACGAGACTCAGATTACATGTTAAATTTACGGAATTCAACTTCTTGAATCCTCAAGCTGAGTTTCTATGGTTAGAGTGGATCATGATCCACTTGGAGTAAGTGAGGAATATTCTAGCTGTACTTAAATTCATTTACCTAAATGGTACCAGCTTAATTCATCTTTTGAAGCTCTCTTATTAGTCTAATTTGATTGCAGCATATGGTTGACACATCAAGTCAATCCCTCGCAGGGGCTGCTCTTATCTTGGAGGAGGGCAGCAACACTAATCCAAATACTCAGAATCTTTGAGGGACAACCTCAACTGGATTGAAAAGGAAACATGAGCTTGCTTTGAATTTGAGGAAGACAAGTAGTATTAGCAGAATCTTTCTTTGGCTAATGTCATATTTGTTATGAGACAATCCAAGAATTGATTAACAATATTATGAGCCTTTTATTTAGTAGTATGTTGCTCTTTCTGTGGGTTGTTTCTGCATGCTTTTTTTTATATTGAGTTTGAAGCTTTGATTGTACAATAAAGGCAATAGGAATTTGAAGTTCAAAATTCCATGGATTTGTGTGGTTAATTACAACATCATTTTGTTATATATGTGTTTGTCACAAGTTCAAGTTAGCTTTTCTTTTTTCCCTTGGCAGCAACAAGGATTGAAGTTACAAATTCAAATGGCTTCAGTTTTTTATACTTCACTTGCCAATATATTACAGAATACACCCGATTTTATAATACCCCGGCCAAGGGGCCGGGCCCATTGCTAGTGCTTTAAAAAAACGCGTGGCAAAGTCAGAGATGGATACGATTGCTTAAATGGAAAATCAAGCTCTTTAATTTTCATCTGAAATTCTTCAAATTAACTGAACCAGAAAAAAGAAATCTCCCGTTGAAGATACCCGCCATTCTTCGCGCCGGCGACACGCATGTGGGAAGTGGGAACGGTAAGTGGCCGGCGATTTGATCAGATTTGATTGGATTGATTCAATTACTCTGTTTTTGTTCTCCCTTTTGTTTTTCCATTTATGGGTTGTGGTGGGAACTGGGAAAAGGTGTCTGCTTTACGACTTGCGCCATGTTTGGTTGCTGGGAATCTTTACTACGGGTCAACGGCGGGTGGACGGAGCCGTTGTTGGTTCTTTCCATGCCAAAGTTTCCTCTTTGCAAAGTCAACAAATGACAAGTTTTGTTCTTGTTTGTGATCAAGGTGATTGATTTTCTGTATATCATGAATCATCACAATTCACAACATTCATAGCTGATAGGATATTTATTAATGTTTATGTTTACGTTTACGGATGATCACACAAATCGATAGATATTAACGATAAGATAAACTATTCTCTCTACAAATTAGTCGTTTTCCTCACATCAATCGCGTAGCATTTTAAAGGAAATGATGATTAAAAAACCCGATAAGCTAGGATTTATTTCCCCAAAGGTGTTTGAGAATGTTGATTTAATCCACTATGAACATGCTCAAAATGACATTTAGAAAATCAGTGATGTAACATATTCTAAAATGAGTGATAAATTGGACAAACGAGGTACTTCAATCTCATTCACATGTTTCAGAGATTATGAAATGAATTTGGGAGGTGTGCATATCCCGCACATACATCGAATGTAATAAAGCAACAACATATCTTGCCAACAATGCTCAGTCCTCTAGTTTAGGCGTTCATTAGTTTGATATTCTAGATTTCCAATTGAACTTTTGGTTACTATATGATGTCATGGGTATTGCACAAAACCGTTTAATTTAGTATATTTGTAACTAAGCTTTGGTATAATAATTCACAAGATATAATCTTTTATTTCATATGTATTTTCATTATTTTTAATTTTAAATGATATATTTTGGAATGTCTACATTTTGTATATGTTTAATACAATAATAAGAATCGATATTTTTATACCGTACCATCCAATTATACGTATTACAATTGTACATATCAACGATAAAATAAAATCATATCACTTCTGTGACCACAAAGTCAAATAATTAAGCACCCCTTTATTCTTTCAAAAATTAAGCACCCCTTTAATCACCTGATCCGACCTTGTATGAGCAGCTAACCAAATTGTTCACGAACAACCCCCAATTACGAAATCAAACTAGTGATTGATTTGATACATGATTGTGCATTTCCAATATGGTTATCATCCTTGTGGCATGCCGGGCGGTTGAACTGGTGCCGATCATGAAACTGTCATAAACACCGCCAGTATGATCGATTGACGAACTTTAAGTGAAACGACTTCGTTTTAGTAAATTTGATTGATAAAAAACGAATTTATTATATGTTTTTTTGAATATACAAGTTAAAAGTTGATGTAGTTTGTTGGATTCAGGCATAAAAGTATAGATGATGAAGGTTAAATGTTGTATTTAAATATGAGTATTATTATTTTATTTGAAACATCATATTTTATTAAGACTGCATGAACCGGCACAGACCGATTGTACCACTGGTCATACTATTCCACTTGCTAACCCTACAGAACAGTATAAACCGGTTTGACAACCTTGTTCCAGTCAACAAGCTCCTGGGCCTGAAACCATCTCTTCCATGATCTTTTTCTTATCCAAAGACGGGCCTGAGCCCACTCCGCAATTTACTTTCCCCTTTCCTTCCGCTATCTCTCTCCCGCTCGGCTGGTGTAGTTCCGCTCCGGTGAGAAAGAGCTGCCGCGGCACTAGAGTTATTTCACTCGTTTGTCCTCCGACGAACCGTTCCGCTCATCGCGTCTCCGTCTTTATCCGGTTCGTATCTTCAATTAGGTTTTCCGTAGACGAAATCGTATCCCATGGATTCCCTTCATTCCACCAACAGAAGCGAGGGAGAAGTGACGGAGGGGGAGGAGGAAGGAGTACGGCGATCTCCCGCTGCCGCCGCCGCACTGGACCACAATCCTCTCCTCCCTCCTCGGCCGCCAGTTCCTCCTCCCGCTGCAATTGAGCTTCTTTCATTTCCCGAGCCCGACGCGGCTACGACGAACAAGCAGCAGAAAGTCGCGGTTGGGGCTCCCGCCTCCGAATCGCTATCAGAGTCGGACCCCACGACTTCCAACGATACGGAGAAGCCAATGGTGATGGACGAAGAGGAGGAGGCGGAGGAAGAGGACCGGCCGAGTAAGAAGCATAAGCAGGAGGTAAAGGTAAAGGGAAAGGAAGAGGAAGAAGCAGAAGAAGAGGAGCAGCAGCAACAACCGGAGGCGATGACTCCCGTAGAGGAAATTTCCAATGGAGATGAAGCAGTCAACGGTGAGAACGGGAGCGTCGAGGAGGAGGCGAAAGCTCCTCCATCCGCTGCAGCAGCAGCAGCAGCAGCAGCTACCACGCAATCCGCCGCGAAGAAGAAGTCGAAGAAGAAGAGCAATAACAATGTCTGGTCGACGAGGTCCACTCGGAAGGGTAAGAAGAAGGCGAAGCCGAACCCGCAGAGCACGCCCACGGAGGACACCGTGTCGATCACTCCCGTCCCCAGGTTCCCGGACAAGAACGACGATTCTCCGGAGATGGCAATTTGCTTGTCCAAGGCGTACAAGGCGGAGAAAGTAGAGCTCAGCGAGGACAGGTTGAGCGCTGGGAGCTCCAAGGGTTACAGGATGGCGAGGGCAACTAGAGGGGTTTGTGAAGGTGCTTGGTACTTCGAGACCAAGGTTGAGAGTCTGGGAGAGACTGGGCATACGCGGCTCGGGTGGTCTACTGAGAAAGGGGACTTGCAGGCGCCGGTTGGCTACGATGGGAACAGTTTTGGGTATAGAGATATTGATGGTAGTAAGATTCATAAGGCATTGAGGGAGAAGTATGGGGAAGAAGGGTACAAAGAAGGGGATGTTATTGGGTTCTATATTAACTTGCCCGATGGTGGTTCATATGCTCCTAAGCCACCTCGTTTGGTTTGGTATAAAGGACAGAGGTATTTATGTGCTCCAGATGCCAAGGAGGATCCTCCTAAGATTGTGCCGGGTGAGTTTCTCTTATGGACTTGTCTGTAATCATTCGTTTATATGCTTGCTTATCTGAGATTATATTACACGCATAGTAGAAGCCTCACTCTTATGGCCTGTAAGACGTATGAGCTTCGTACGAAGACCAATGAGCTTCCCGCTAAGATGTTCCTGTGATTGAATATTCTTAATTTCCTTTTGCTTCTGTTTCCATTTGGATGATTTAGTTGTCAAACAGAGTGCTGTATTTTCTGTTCATTTCAATTTCATTCTTTGGAATTGCTCAGAAAAGCTTCTTTGTTTAAATGTAGAAGCATCTGGCAGATTGCGAATATCATGTCGCACACCGGATTGGTGCTTTTTCTATTTCTTATTAAATTCTGTAACTTGGCTGAAACTCTACCTTGTTGTTAGCAAGTTTTGTGCCCGCTGAGGCTGGATCATTTGGATTCTTTGCTGTATGGTTCAACATTCATTCTTCACTTACGTATACTCTTTCTCGTGGTGCAGGAAGTGAGATATCATTCTTCAAGAATGGCATATGTCAAGGGGTTGCATTCAAGGATTTATACGGTGGGCGCTACTACCCTGCTGCATCAATGTACACGCTTCCGAACCAACCAAATTGTGTTGTAAGGTTTAATTTTGGCCCAGACTTCAATTTTTTCCCAGAGGATTTTGGTGGGCGTCCCATGCCAAGGCCCATGATTGAAGTTCCTTATCATGGGTTTGATGCTCGTGTTGACAGTGGCACGCCCAATGAGGAGAAACAGTAGTACACAGTCTCTTTGATGCTTACCACATTGGTTTTTGGTTTCACTAGTTGGCACTCTAGATGTCAAATTAGAATTGTCTAACAAAACATCTTATGTAAACTCTACATTTCTTGAATGACTAAAGAAGAGCGATTTTCCTTGTGAAATATGAAGCAATTGGAATGAGGCTGGCTGATGACATTTGATTTCACGATATTAGTTAGTTTATTGTTCTTATAAAACAAGTCTGAATACTTCTGATGAGTTTTATGGTATTTTTTGAATGGTGCAACTTATCAGATTATTCATGTCATGTTTATATATTATGAGTTATGTACTACGTAATCTGTGTGTTTTTTCTTCAATGTCAATATGCTTCTTTGTTTTCTGGATTTTTCAAATCTTCCGTCTCACTTTCGTGTGAATTTAGTTGCATCTTTACTGACCCATGACAAAATGAAATGCAGATTGCCCTCTCCTCTTCTGTTGTGCGACTCCCTCGCTCTGTTATGCTCTTGATTAAGAGCGGGATAGTTTGTTTCCCCAGTGTCAATGTGCTTATCAGACCATACATATCTTGTTTCTTGTTGGTTACTGAGCAATTGTATAGCCGAAGGATTAGTGGATTTCATTTAAGTAATGGGACTGATCTTATGCAAAGACCTTTGTAAACCTATTGTTCATGAAAAAAGAAATTTTGACTGACTGTGTTTCCTTATTTCCTGATACATTTGTTCAACATCTTTGTCCACCTAACCGGAACTATGCTAGTGGTTCATTTGGTAGGCCAGTTCCCCCATTGCTATTTGTTTCTTGACCCTGGTGCTATCAAATGGGAGAGTCTAAACCCTCCTGAGAAATCAAAGAATGGAGTGCCTGATGTCTCTTTGAAGGGAACCGTGAATTCTTCCTAAAAGATGGCCTCTTCTTGAGCTGATGTAGCATTCTTTTGGCATAAAGCTTCCTTATCATATGTAAAGTTCTTTCCTTCAACTTGAGAACGGCATAGAAGATGAGCCTATAAGCTATGATGGTGGCTACGACAGCAGCTAAGTCCCACCATTTCGAATGCTCAACGTTAATGCCAAGCACTCTTGTGAGATATGCTTCACCTTTCAGCTTCGGACCACCAGGTACCAGGGGATCTATCTCCAGTCCACTCATGTCATTTTTATATGCTCCCTGCATTTCATGTTATAGATGTAGTATTATCTATAGAATAAGAATAGGCTTGCTTGACGTATTTGAAAGATTTTACTTCACTTTGAAGTACCTGTAATGCCCATGCAGCATAATTCAGGTACGACATTGGGTACTGCCAGAAAACCTTAGGAAGATCCGGAAAAAAACGGAAGTAACCTGCAGTCATCGCTAGTATTCCCTGCAGATAGCCAATGGATGAATGTGAATGGGTTGAGAAACACTTATCAAATGTGTGATTGTAGCCTTTGTAGGTATTTGGTAGTATAACTATAGGGCAGTCTTTCTCACAATATATCCAGCTCCAATGATAACTCCCATCAAGAAGTTGGGAACTAGTGAAGCTATAGCCATCATGCAGCTCTCTACAGCTGCTATACCACTTATCAGAAGTAGGCAGACGTAAACAAACCGAGAAAATTCCGTTCGGAATTTCACCATGTAGTAGGTAATACTTGCTGTAGAGAGTGACATGAGAGCCAAGTATGGGAAGGAAGAGATAAAGTTTGACATGATGTAAATCCCAACCCCGTAATGCCCATCCAATCTTTCTTTAGAGAAAACCTGCATGGTGTAAGACAGGATGTAAAGCAGGAAAAGGTTAGCAAAACTGTGTTAGCTCTTCGTCTTTACCATGATCCTTAGAATCAGCTCATTCACCTTCAATTCTTCAATGAATGAAGGAAAACCTCCAATGGACATAAATGTCATAAATCCTGAAACAAATGCTCCACAAGCTCCTCTTTCGAAGACTGCTGCCCTACTTCTTCCAATATCGAAGAAGATGGTACCAACAGCTATAGACAAGGTGATGTAAACTCCTATTCTCACCCTATAGTATCCCCAATCTCTCCACATATTGACTGAAGATCTCTTTGTCAATGTGAGAAGTTGCTTCCACCAATTTGCTTGTCTCTTAAATTTGCTTTTTATAACATTTCCTTTCTGCATGAAGGATAAGAATGCTCATGTCGCAACAGTGAATAAATATTGCACGTCTGTTCATCGAGTCCACATATCTTTTAGGGGAGAATGCATTTAAAACTAACTACATTTTCCTTCCATTTTTAGTTTCCTCAGCTTATAGTCTGAGTACTAGAAAGGATTACAGTTCTGAATTTTGCAAGATTAGTTTATTCTAAAAGGCTATGTCTTTCTCTAAACTTGGATGTACATCTTTGAATAGTTGTAGGACTAGTTATTGATAATGTTTGTTGTAGATTACTTAGATCATTACTTGCTGGACAGCATGCCATTCTTCTAGGCTGATCCTAGGTATACTGGGATATTACAAGCAAAGTCAAAGGAGCTAGATTCAGAAATTACTAGGTTGGAGTACTTACAGTAGCTGACATTTGCTTAACCCTTGCTCTCTCCTTGGCTGCATAGTCTGATAGCCTGTATTTCTCGAGTAGCTTTGACTTGATCTCTGCTGTGGGCATGTCTGTTGAATTCTGAATGTTCGATAATCAAGGAAAGCATAAACACCGTGGTTTAGAACTTGTGCGATTTGATGTAAGGGTTAAGCAAATGTAAGGGTTTAGAACACCGTGGTTTAGAACTCTTGCAAATAGAAACAGTTGAATAAAGTTGTTGCCATATACTTTTCCATACCTTTTGCTGTCCTATCAAAGTTGTTATCATCTGATCAAAGTCTGAATTAATGCAACGCAGGAAATGATCAGATGGATTTGCTCGAATCGGACATGGGAATCCAGCTTCAGCAAAAAACTATATGAGCAAGCACTTCAGGTCAGTATTTCAAGAAGAACAAGAAAACTCATGTAGTAATATTTAACATAGAACTATGCACCTCTACTGCCATTTTTGCTTCTCCAGAGTAGATCACCTCACCATCAGACAATAAGCAAAGCTCGTCGAAAAGTGTAAAAACTTCACTGCTTGGCTGGTGAATAGAACATATAACAGTTTTTCCATCTTGAGCAATGTTTCTTAGTGTCTGAACCACAAAGAAAGCTGATGCACTGTCCAGGCCAGTGGTGGGTTCATCTAGAAACAAAAGTTGAGGCTTAGTTAGGATTTCAAGTGCAATACTTAGTCTTTTCTTCTCCCCGCTACTGATGCCCCTTAAATGCCAATTCCCAAGTACACGATCTGCACAATCTTGAAGACCCATTCCTGATATAGTTCCTTGTGCAATATCATTAATTTCTTTCTTGGTCATGGTGCTTGGAAGCCTCAAATGTGCTGAGTATGTTACCGTCTCTCGCACAGTGAGAGTTCCCAACAATGTATTTTCGTATGTTACATACCCCTGAATAATAAGTGACAACATTATAAGGACATGATCACAAGAATTAAGATTAAGCTCGCATTATTTAGGCTTCAGATAGATTAGATGGAATTAGAGATGTTTGAGAAGTTACAATAGTATAAAAGAACTTACAATAGTAGTACAGTCGGGTTTCTTCTTTCGTCCATTAAGTAGGATCTTCCCATACATGACAACATTGCTTGATAGTCTTCCTGCAAGATTTCGACCTTTGCATGGATAAGCAAGTAACGAGAATAACTGGAGTGAGCATGTGCCCTCCCAGTGCTAAAATTGTAAATGAAGCAATTAAAAAAAAACTCTGTGGTGTTCACTACAGACTTTACAGTTATTGTTGCTGCTTTCCATTGTCGTTGCGTATTCAGATAAGCAAGTCATGAGAAGAAGAGAGGGAAAACCTGCTAATGCATCTAGAAGAGTTGATTTTCCTGACCCGGAGGGACCAATGATAGCCTTGATCTTACCAGGCTCAGCGTACCCACTAATCCTATTAAGCAGCCTCTTTGTAGCTCCATTGCCAAAATGAGGAAGGGCAACTGTGATATCTTCCCACACAAGGTATGTAGCCTCTGCTTCATCTCCTCCTTTTGATGCACCTGCTTCATTTCTGCTTCCTCCATAATGTTTTTCCTGAACTCCACCATCTCCACCATCAGGGATAGATTGTTCAATCTCCATAACTTGCAATAGATACTCTGGAGCTTTTGTTTGGATGTGTGGGGGCAAAAGAAGCAAAAGAGAACTTATAGGGAAAAAGTTGCCATGTGTCAGTTTACTGTGATTGCTTGGATACGGTGGTCTATTAACATAGGAGTTGGTAAAGAAGATTAGCCGCAAAGAGGATACGGCATCTGCCCCCTCAAACGAAAGCCAACCCATGGGCTTGAAGTTTGCACAGGCCCACCATACCATGTGCTTGAAAGACAACGGTTAATATTGGGGGTCGTGGAGATTCGAACACATGACCTTTTGGTTCGAGGCTCTGATACCATGTCAAGAACCAGTTGCTCCCAATAACTCGAGTTGTTGGGAGAAGGTTCTGCTGGATCTTATATCACACTCTAACACTTGTTACATGCCACATGATATCTATTGTCCTTTCAACGTTTATTGTAACAACTGCATATAACTGCATTTTACTTTTCCCTCTGATATAAACGGGATACTTTGTATCTTTAGATGGCAACAATCACGTGTTGATTAACTCTCTTTCTAATTGCTGAAAGAGTTGCCAGACCAACTTAAGTTCAGTACCAGAAACCCCTTGAAGTATCTGTACTGAGAAGTAAATCATTTAGTTTCCTTCAATTTTTTGGCAGTCCTTTCAATAGCTCTTGGCTGGAAGCCCATAAGGTGTGGTGACAGAAGGCCCACTGTTCTTTGGTGGTTGGCAGTATCAAACTTGGGATGCATGTGGAGTAAGCTTATCCGAAGAAAAGGAAGCCAGTCCTTATCGTGGGAAAACAAGAGCATAGGACGGACCAGCTACTTGGGTGAAACCAAAAAAGGAACACATTAGCGACTGAACGGCGTGCTTCAGAGATGAAGACCAATATGCATGGTCCATAAATGTGAACTGAAACATAAATGGAAAGCAACTGTACAAAGGTAAATATTCTTCCTTGGTTACTCACTTACTCTAATATAGCATCATTCCAAAGTATTTGTTTTTCGAGTAGTGGGGGAACTTGCAAGTTACTGTGATTGGAGCTTGATTTACGAATATAGAATCAAGTCTTAACACTGTACTTATAGATTAATTTTTGGATTTTTTTTTCCATCTCTTAGTGCGTCTAAGCAAAACCGTTGAACATATTATCCATTGTTAGAATCTTAATACTCTGCTCTTTCTACTCTTAACAATGGCATCTAGTTTTATTTATTGCATTGGAAGGGTTAGGACCAACTCCCTGAATTTTGCCTAGAGGTCCTTTCTAAGCAGCTGCATGTGATCAACCGATGATGAATAATAATGCATGTCCTTCTCACGGACTCTTTACCAGTTGTCACTGCTTGCCCTTGTGCTAGATCTACTGCTTTTAAGTTTATAAAGTTTTGGTACAGTTCTATGTCAGGGTGGTTGTTAGGAAGTCACCGCATTGTAAACTTGGGTTTTCAGAATTAACGAATGGAAATGCACTTTTAACCAGTACTATGGAGCCAAAGTTGAGAGTTGGCTCCACCACCTTCTGGTTGGCTCTTTTGTCCTTCCAGAAGTCAAATATCATCAATCCCCTTTAAGGTTAATGTTTCCCTTTTAAAAATTATCCATTTTATGAAACATACTTCCAACTTCAAATTGAAAGAAAAACCAGAAAATACACCATGCAGGTTATATTATCATTTGAACTTTGAAGTATTAGCCCTGGTGGAAAACCTGGAAATCTGATCTGAAGAACTGATCTGTTTATACATGAACCATGCAAAAATTCTCATATCAAAAAAGAATTTTCAGCTTAGCTTGAGTTGAATGTTAGCTGTCTAACGTCCTTGTGTTTCATGTGTTACAGCTGTTATGAGTTATGACATATAGGCGAAAAGTCATGCTCGCTCCGGTGGCCATATGTGGCTAGAACTTGCAGAACGTTGCCGATCATGTGTACATAGAATGTCCGCACAAGGTAAATGCTGAGCACGCTGATGTGATATATGGAGAGAACATACCTTCTTGTTGACCAATTCTTTGCTTGTCCTGCTTCACTTACTCTCCCAACAAGATGTGGCTGCAAGAAGAATGTTTTTATTGATAAACGACTCACTTCGTGGTCCCTGACCTTTTCGTCGGTAAGTGCTCCTAATCCGCGCTAATGGATGTGTCTATTTATCTGCATTTTGACTTGGTGACTGGTAGAACGTTTTTACTGTATTTTTATGATTAGTCTTTTACAAGAATTGAATGATCATATGAACCTAGTAACCCTCTTCATCATAGAACAGAGAATTGTATTTATTCGTACATCCAAATTCACTGATTATACCCAACAGAGAATTCAAATTAGCATAAATCTCAACAGAACTAGGGTGTGATGTATCTCCTGCAGCAAAAGAGTGAACTTGACCCCCAAGAATGATCCAACTAATTCCTGGAGGCTTTTTCAAACCCTTATCTTTCAGCAATGCTCTTACATTCCTAACCTCAGACCAAAGCCCTGCTGCAGCATATATGTTGGCCAGCAAAACATAGTTTCCGGGATTCATTGGCTCCAGATCGACTAGCTTTCGGAAAACTGATGCTGCCATTTCCGGGTCACAATGAATTCTGCACCCACTCAGTAGACTTCTCCAGATCGATGCATCAGGTTCCACCGGCATGGAATCGATGAACTCTCTAGCTTCTTGTAAGAACCCACCACGGACAAGTAGATCAACTATGCACCCGTAGTGAGCAAGTTGAGGAGTTAGTTTCAAGTCGCGAACCATGAAACTGAAAATCTGCAGACCTTTCCTTATTAAACCACCATGGCGGCAGGCAGACAGTACGGATAAGAACGTCAGGCCATTAGGCTGGAAACCTTCTTCCAACATGTCCATCAAGGCTTGGATGGCATCATCAGAGGAGCCATTTGTGGCATAACCACTGATCATGGCGTTCCACGAGATGATATTCCTCTCCTGCAGAGTTCTGAAGATGTTTTCAGCACCCTGTAGACTGCCACATCTTGCATACATTGTGATGAAAGCATTAGCAAGAGAGAGGTGGAATTCGAGAGGGGAGAATCTGCGGGCTGCATATGCATGAATTTGCTGTCCACGAGGCAAATTGGCAAGGTCGGTACATGCCGAGAGAATGTTGATAATGGTGATGGAGTTCGGCTCCACCTCAGTGATCATACGGCTCAATAGTGATAGAGCTTCATCAGTTTGGTTCTTTCTCACGTAGGCAGTAATCATAGCGTTCCATGAGATCAGGTCTCTACGTGAACAGACCTCGAACAGATTCCTCGCTGTTTCTTCGTCGCCACAAATCATGTATGTATCAGCAAGAGCAGTGTTCAATGCTGGATCAATATTAATACCATGTTTAATCACTAATCCATGGATGGATCGCCCGACATTGAGATAAGTTTCATCTCCACAACAAGAAAGCAGAGACACCATTGTGTAAGAGTTTGGCATGATTTCTGATTGTTGCAGCATCATTGCTCCGAAGAGCTCCCAAGCTTCATCCTTGTAATTGTTGCTTGCCAATGCAGAAATCAAATAGTTATATGATACAACATCAACCTCTTCCATGTCAGAGAAGACTTTCTTTGCTGCTTCTAGACGATTCAGGTCCGCGTACATACTTAACAATGCATTTCCTACTGCAACATCCATCCTGATCCCGAGCTTCAAGGCATGAGCATGCAATGCTCGACCCCTTTCCAAGCCATCTACAGCCTCTCTACAAGAAGAGAACAGAATAACTAATGTCCTAGCATCTTCCCCAGTTTCAGTTCTCATTCTGATGAACAAATCAATGGCCTCTTCACGATAACCGTATTCTATATGTGCAGCTATCATGGAGTTCCACAGGGCAACATCGCGAACCCTGGTGCTATCAAATATCTTAGAAGCTGAATGAAGACTTCCGAGCTCGGTGTACATGTTGAGCAACGCGTTTAGGATGAACAGATCGCTGCAGTTACCCAACTTCGTAGCCATTTGATGGATTTGCATTCCCAGTCTCAGACAGCCGAATTCGGAGCAGGCTTGAACAGCAGCCAATGTCGTAACGAAATCAAGCTGAACACCAAGCATAAGCATCTGAACAAAAAGCTCCAAAGCCATCAATGGATACCCTGCATCAAAGTACCCTGTCATCATCGCATTCCAACTCACAGAGCTCCTCACCTCCATCAGATCAAACACAAGACCAGAAACCTCCACATCAAAGTTCAAATAGAACACAACCAGAGCAGTGCCCACATGGGGATCCCGATCAAAACAGCCATTCCTCAAGCAATACCCATGTATCTCCTTCCCCAACCTGAGCTCCGAAACCCCTTTGCACGCCAGAAGCAGCTGCACCAACGTACGGGAATTCAGCTGGAACCCCTCCTTCTGCATCATCCTAAACAACCCAATTGCCTCCACGAAGTACCCACATCCCACGTACCCAGCTATCATGGCGTTCCAGGACACCAAGTCTCGCTGGCGCATTTCGTCGAACACTTGGTCAGCTTCATGGACGAACCCACACTTGCAGTAAAAATCAATCACCGCTGTTTGGACTCGGACATCTCGAATCAAATCGGTATCTTGGATAACCCCGTGTATCCTCCTCCCTTTCTCGACCGCGTTCAACCTGCTACAAGCCTTGAATACCAGAGGCAGAGTGGAGCTATCAGGAGTCCCGCCGTGTGCTTCCATCTGGGCATAGGCTGAAAGAATGGCTTCGTCATTTTTGAGCTTAGCCTGGTCTCTGATAATTCGATTCCAGTTTTTGCTAGCATTATCGTCTCTGTGAAATTGGCCATTTCTGGGCAACGTCGGGAGAAATTGAGGGTTCGAACAGAGGAAATTTGTCATCACTCACTCATCAGTTAAATGACAGGCGGTTGGCTCCCATTACTTGGGGGGGAAAGGATAAAGGATGGAAAGAAAGTTGATGCATGAGAGAGAGAGAGAGAGAGAGAGAGAGAGAGAGGCCAGTGTTTGATATTGGAATAGGGAGAGAGGGTATTGAGTACTCATTTTTACATGGTTTGCAAGATAAGTCTTGCTCAGCTGTGCTTTCTTCTAGCTAGCAAGCACTTGCAGAACATTGCCTATCGTCATGTGAACTTACAATATGACAAGGTAACCACTGAGCACCATCTTCTCTGTATTGTTCCAATTTTGTCCGATCACTGAGAATGATGATATGATATACATATATATGGGTGGGAATATATGGTGAAGGGCAATTCCACTAATTGCACAATTGTTTGTTTCTTCACATGTGGTGTGAGTTTGAGGAGCTTAGTGGATTGGAGAGAAGAGACCTTCTTGAGAAGACAAAGAATGAAGGACTTGTTGATGCCTCTTAGAAGGGAATCGCGCAGAACTCGAAATCCTAAAAGATGGCCTTTTCTTCTTGAGATGATGCAGTGTTCGCTTGGTGTAGATCTCCCTCAGCAATGGCGAAGATCTCTCCTTTAACTTGAGGATTGCATAGAAGGCAAGTCTGAAAGCTATTAGGATCACAGCAACTGCAGCTAAGTCCCACCACTTGGAGTATCCAATGTTGACTCCCAGCATTGTGGTCAGGAAGACTTCACCTTTCAGCTTTGGCCCACCAGGTACTAGAGCTTCGAACTCCTGCCCGATCATGTCGTTCTTGTATGCTCCCTGTACCATTCCCAGTATCATATTTCCAGCTCTATTATTAGTAGTAGAAGAACAAATATCGTGCATGTGCATGTGCTTGGAGAATTGTATATGATTCCCAGTTCCAACAAGAAGAACTTAGGAAGATATCTTTCTTTACCTGTAGTCCCCATACAGCAAAGTTGACATAAGAGATTGGGTAACGCCACAGAACCTTAGGAAGATCAGGCAGGAAACGGAAGAAACCTGAAGTCATCATTAGGATCCCCTACACAGAGAAAATGAATGTAGAATTAGAAAAACCCACCCTTTGAGTGAGTGCGTGAGTGAGTGAGACATTGTTGTTGTTTCTTACGATATAGCAGGCTCCAATAACGATACCCATTAGGTAGTTGGGAACAAGTGAGGCTATGGTCATCATGCAGCTCTCAACAGTTGCTGTACAGCTTAGAAGGTCTAGAAAGATGAATACAAATCCTGAAAACCCAGCACTAGATTTCACCATGTAATAGGTAATACTCGACGTGGAGAGTGACATAACTATCAAGTAAGGGAATGAAGAGAAGAAGTTTGATAGAATGTAAACCCCGACTCCATAGTGCCTGTTTAGTCTTTCTTCATGGAAAACCTGCAAATGAGTGAGCATTAAAAGGTTAGTAAATAAGTCTCCATGGATCTTAGATCCTAGTAATAGTGGGTGAGGTTATTCACCTTCAATTCCTCAATGAAGGAAGGAAAGCCCCCAATGGACATGAATGTCATGAAGCCTGAAATGAACCCGGCATAGGCTCCTCTTGTAAAGATTGAACCACTTGTTCCAATATCGAAAAAGATGGTACCGACACATACAGACAAGACTACATAGATTCCTATCCTGACCCAATAGTAACCCAAATCTCTCCTCATGTTCACATGAGATCTTTGTGTCAATGTGCAGAGTTGCTTCGACCAATTCGCTTGCCTTGTCACTTTTCTTTTAATCGCACTTCCTTTCTGCATAAACCACAACTATGTTGAATCATTTATGTAAAGCATGTTTTTTTCTACTGTGCTGCTCTCTCAGATAAGATGAATTAGTCTGAACTGGTGATTAATTGATTTATGTTTAAGGTACTATTGAAATTGAAATGTACATGTAATTGCAGTCAGATTGCTTTCGCAAGGCCTCGTCTGTGTTTTTTCTTTTTCCTTCTTTTTTCTGTCTTGTAGAATATGAGCAAGACTCAGCTGAACTTAGGTAGTTTAAAGCATCACTTGCTGGAGTAGATTATACTATTAGAGGGAAAATTAATGTGCTAGATGCCGAAGAAAATTAAATTTTAGAGTGCTTACAGTAACCAGGATTTCCTTCATTCTTTCCTTTTCCCTGGCTGCATAGTTGGATGGCCTGTATTGCTTGATTAGCATTGCCTTGATCTCTCCTGTGGGTAAGTATGTTGAAGATTCCAGCGGTTTACCAATGTCCTAGAGTCCATGAAGTAAAAAAAATATAAAAACAGTTAAAAATGCTTGAAACTAGAAGTCTGTAAAGATGATAAAGATGTCACAAGTAAACAGTAGTTGCTCATGAGTCATACTAAAAATAATCTGTAGTGTTGGATTTCAAACTGCTTTGGCTGTATTGAATCTCAAAGAATGTAATGAAAGGAAGCTATTTGATCTAAAAAATTTGGGAAGAAGAACACCGCGAGATTGAATCTTACCCTATTAGTTTTACGTACCTGTTTAGATCCCATTAAAGGAAGTTTGATCTGGTCGAAGTCTGAATTAATGCAACGTAGGAAATGATCAGAAGGATTTCGCCTTATGGGACAAGGGAATCCAGCTTGAGCCAAGAACTACATTGTTGTAAGCTTCAAGTTAGAATGTAGCCCAAGAAAATATAAAAACAATTGAATTTATAATACGGAGAGAACTATGGGAATGTGTTGGATAATCTGTAGTTATACCTCTGCTGCCATTTTTGCCTCTCCAGAGTAAACAGTCTCACCACCAGACAACAAGCAAAGGTCATCAAAAAGTGCAAAAACTTCGCTGCTTGGCTGGTGTATCGAAGATATGATTGTTCTTCCATCTTTAGCAATGTTTTTCAGAGTTTGAACCACAAAGAAAGCCGAGGCACTGTCCAGGCCAGTAGTAGGCTCATCTAGAAATAGAAGGTGAGGCTTAGTGAGGATTTCAAGTGCAATGCTTAGTCTTTTCTTCTCCCCACCACTTATGCCCCTTAAATGCCAATTCCCAATCGATCGATCTGCACAATCTTGGAGACCCATTTCCGCTATAGTTCCCTCTGTAATGTCATCAATTTCTTCTTTCTTCATTGTGCTTGGAAGTCTCAAGTGAGCAGAGTATTTTATGGTCTCTCTCACAGTGAGAGTCCCCAGCAGTGTATTTTCTTGTCTTACATAACCCTGAAAAACGATAGGCATGAGCATTAGCATCAAACTAGAACTAACTTAAATGCTCCTTCAGCATTAAGGAATGGTATTCTTGAGGAAATATAGAGCCACCACCTCATGTTGGGAATGATAAACACGTTGGACCAGTTTTAAGATGTATTAGGTGGATAAACCGCTACCTTGAGACTAGTTAGTCTTATAAATTAACATCTTCCAGAAAACAGTTATCTGGATGGGCTACTCTATCTTCAGGAAGCAGATTCCTATATAGCATTCTGTTTTGAAGATGATTGTAAACAAATTCTGCTTCAATTTCTCTCTAGACATATGAAAAGTAGAAAAGTTCCTGGTAGAATAAGTAAAGCAACTTACAACACCGCCATAGTTGAGCCTCTTCTTTTTTCCATTAAGTAGGATATTCCCAGTCATCACCACATTCCCTGGCAGCCTACCTGCATCACGTCAAGAGTTGCATGGTGAAGTTCTCAACATTAAAAGCTATGTTTTTTTCCCTAAATCCCATATTTCTTGCATCGAAGGTTTGTACAGAACAAGTCTACATGCAACTATGGGATAAGGTTTGCCACATTATTAAAGTTTACTTTCCTAGCAGTGCATAGATCTACTGTCCCCTCCCATATGTCTAGAACATGCGCTTCGAATCGGTCTCATTGTACGGTAATGTTTTGTGCCTTCGAAGCCATTCAATCACCTAATGAATCAGTGACCTATTTCAGTTTAGGAGTTGCAGTTTATGTGACAGAAAAGATCCAGGTTAGTGGTTAGCTACAGATTAAAATTCAGTAGGGAGGCTAAGTAAGCATGTTTCTGATAATTTAGTCACATTAGGCTTAAAAGCATCTGTGGCTAGTCTATTGAAGTTATTGGGAGGTTCTATTTTCCATGGACGAGTAGGATGGGATTGGAATTGATGAACCTCAGTTACTTCCCTCTAAGCCAATTTCTGTGTCCAAAAAATGGTTTTCCCTCCAGTAAAAGAAAGCTATAGCTAAATAAAATAGACATATGATGCCCTTATAAAGCAGATTAAAAGCGTCCAACGGACTTTCTGGCCTGTAAACCCCACCCTTGGTTCTAAGTAAGGAATTCCAGCAGTTACTTCTTCATTACAGATTTCAAGACCCAATTTTCTAGCATCACTATTATCCATTCATTTGGTCTTAATGTAAGCCATCAATTATTTTGGTCACCAACTGCCAAACACTTGGGATAGAGGAACTCAAACATGCTATGACTTGGTCACTTGGTGGAATTGACAGCTCGAGTAAAGGGAGAGAGGAAAAGAGACATAAACCAGTGTTTGGGGTTTGACATGTGTACTTTCTTACACCTAAGTTGCCAGACATAAGTTCTCAAAGGAAGAGGCTTTTTTCATATTTTGTGTCATTTGTTCTGGTGGTAGTAAATGCTACTTAGATATTTTGACACTTTTGACCCTACCAATTCCTTGTATTGACCCCATAACCTATCTTAGGCTTCAGCCAAGAATCCCAGTTCTGAAGGAAGAAAAGAAATCACTAAAATGAATGCACACCATGAAATGAAAAGATTATTAAGGACTGGGAATGCATACTTTAGCTGCTAACTTGTGTGTGGACTTGTCAGGAAATTTTTTATGATGCTTCACCACTGTTTTTATGTCCATATATTTCCCATATACAGAAATGCATTCTTGAGAAAGAGAAAGGAAGAAAAAAAGAGGGTGGTGAAAAACCTGCTAATGCATCAAGAAGAGTTGTTTTCCCAGACCCAGATGGACCCATGACAGCCTTGATCTTCCCAGGCTCAGCATATCCATTGAGTCTATCAAGCAATCTCCTAGTTGGTCCATCACCAAAATTTGGAAGCACCACGCTTAAATCTTCCCACACAAGGTAAGCAGCCTCTGCTGCTACATCTCCAGCTTCCTTTGATGCACCACCCTCAGTAGCATGGCAAGTTCCAGCAAGGTGACCATCACCATCACCAGAGGAAATTTGCTCAATCTCCATTGCGTCCAGCAAGACAAATAGGTGGGAGTTTGAAAGTGGAGGAAGAAGTTGCAGAGGAGAACTTGGAAGAGAGGGAGAAAAACCAGGTTAACAATGTTCGTTTCCTTTAGCTACATTTTTATAGGCTTGAATGAACCTTTGTCTGTTTACTGTTGAAATAAGTTACTGCAGGGGCAATAATTACTCCCCAACAAACCATAGCAAGAAAAGGGCATGACTTGTGAGTTACTGAGTTCGAGTCTGTCTATATGTGGGAAGATAAATGGTGATGTTTTCTGCTAGCTTAGAATTGGCTGATGCACAAACAGAAAATTGTACATAAAAAAAAGAAGTTGAGCTCAATAACTGAGGGCCAGCCACTGGACCTACCATTCATTGCTCTTTCATAAATTTTAGCGGCACATAGAGGAAAGAGAAATGATAGAAAGGGTGAGAGCTTCGAGCAGGAAGAAAGGCTATGATGACTGATGAGGGCTTATTCATATTTGTCTTTCGTTTTTTCTTCGACTATTTTTTCCCCATACACTTGTCATGTGATGTGTATACCAGCAACCGTTCATAGAGATTGATTTCTCACTCCGTACTCATAGAAATGTCTATGAACCAAGCTATCTTTTCTTCTAGAATTGCAGGTTCTTCTGCTTGTTCTTTCTTATGAAGCAGGTGGTCTCGGTAACAAGGACTTAAATGGAACCAGTATACTATGATGCATGCACATGGAAGCACATGGTTCCTGGTACCAAGCTACCTCGTTGGTTCAGTCTCTGATACGATCTTGCAAACACTGGTTATATCATATAATCCAGTTACCATACTCTTCACCATTGCCATTAGGAATCATCCCACTTTATGTTATTAACTAGTGGGGCTAACATTGAAATCATGGCCTGTAACTTGGTTACTGAAACTTGCTTGTCCCTTTCTAAGGACACTGTAGGTTTTGCAGTCCTCTCTCGTGCAATGCTGACAAGCTTGAGAATTGTAGCAGCTCCCTAGCTATGCCATCTGGGCTTCTGCAATAAATGACAGTCCAAAGGTAAGGCCCCTCCCACACTACTTCCTGAACTAGTTCTGGCAGTTCTCTTGTTGAAAAGGAGCCATTATGGCTGGTTGTTACATCCTGGTGATATGCTTTCTTTACTTCTGATGGATGATTGTCGCATCAGAGTTTTGAACATTATCGAACACATTTACTCTCTACTTACAGGTCGGTGGATGAGAATTCTGTTTCGCTTTATGAGACTGGTTACAAAGATGACAAGTCCTTTTCATATGGAAGTGTACAAATCTTGAGCAAGATGAGCTACTGGGCTCCCGCCTCCACTAGCAATCAGGAAATGACAATGGCAACATGATCAGAGGATATCTCAATATCTATACCCGCAAAGTAAAGGTATGAGTTTTTTTTAACGCAAATAGAGTGCATGACATGTTTGATAATGGTTCATAATTCGTACTCAGTACTAGTCAGGGATTGTGCAACGGTCTGATCCGATCAACTCACTAGTATCGTGGTTCAATAATGAAAGATATCTTAGGGTCGGACCATTGTTGAGCTCTATCGGGCTTCTTTTCCAGTCCCTCGGTCGACGAGTTAGGCCTTGCTGCACGACCGAGTGGGCCTAAGTAGCAATTCAGGTCAGGCCAACAATAACTAGCCCAAGGCCCGCAGTTTTGTATGTATAGACTGGGCAGATTTTACTAATAGATGAACAATTGAGTGGGCCTGTGTAGGGACTTCGACCAGGCCGACATTAAGCAACCTAAGACCAACAATTTTGCATGTAGCTATGCATGCGACTGAGAGTAAATTATATTGACGAATTACATTCTAAAATTTATTACTTATCAAATGAGATTCGACGAACTCGATGACATGATAGTCCGTTCAATATCTAGAACCTGAAACGTTAAAAACAATATCATAAAAGTCATCATTGGGTGAAAAAGAGGTAACCAAAAAGTCAATTTTCGCAAGACGACTAGTTATTAGAATAAAGAAGATGAACAGTGTAATTTTTACAAATTTCTTTCACTCCTTGATCCAGCCATTGCTTGGTGTTGCAAAGTCACCTCACTACCAAAGAATATTACATAATCTCTCAGTAATTAAAAGAAAGGAGTCCTCTCCAACCCAGGACTAAAATTTTCACCTTATGACCTGTTTTTCACTGTATGAAGATTCACTACCAGTAACAAAAATAGTTACCGCCCCCCTTACAACACCAAATGACCAACTCAACAGTCAAAACGTTATCTGTGTATTTAATATTTATAAATCATTTTATATATCTCTTCAAATCTGCTTATATATCATACGTGGCTTTTTTTTCTTCTTCTAGTGGAGTGGAGAGTTGAGGCCCTCTTGCGAGGACAAGGAGTGCTGCCTCCTGGAACCAAGGGATGGCATCTTCCTGAAAGAAGGCCTCTTCTGCAGCCGTTGCAGGGTCCTCTTCGAGTAAGCGTCCTTCACCAAAGGCAGGGCCTGCTCCTTCAGCTTCAGAACCACGTAGAACAGGATCCTGTAGAAGATCAAGATGACGAAGATGATCGAGAGGTCGAACCACTTGGAACGGTTCAACGAGACCCCGAATATGTTGGTGATGATGAACTCTCCCTTGAGCTTGGGGTCACCAGGCACCAGTGGCTCGAATTCCTCCCCTATGAAGTCGTTCTTGTACGCGCCCTGCAGAAGGTTGTTAAAGGCTCGAAAACGGTTTGGAATAGGTGTGTTAACATAGGATTTTGCAGTAAGTTACACTACCTGAAGTCCCCAAGCGCCATAGTTGATGTAAGAAACCGGGTAGCGCCAGAATATCTTGGGGAGATCGGGCAGCAACCGGAAGAAACCAGATGTCATCATCATGATCCCCTGCCACAATGCAAAAAGGTTTGAAGTTAAGAGGTTTTCTTCAGACACAAGGCAGCAGAGACTTGGGAAGGAAGAACAGAGGGAACTCTGTAGTTTGCAATGCTTACAATGATTCCAGCTCCAGTGACGAGTCCCATGAGGAAATTAGGCACCAGTGAAGCCACCACCATCATCAAGCTCTCGATGACCGAAATGCAGGAGAAGATGTTGAGGCAGAAGAAGGCCAGGTAGGAAAACCCTGGCCTGAATCTCACCAAGTGGAAGCATATGTTGCCAGAAATGAGTGCAATTGCAAACAAGAATGGGAAGGACGAGAGGTAGTTTGACAGGATGTAGACTGCTGGTCCATAATACCCATTCAGCCTCTCTCTGTAAAAGATCTGCGGAAACAGAAGGCATGCTACTAAATCAGAAACCCTGAACTCCACTAGTAAAGGTTTGGGTTGAAATCCATATGTGTACCTACCTTCATTTCTTCGATGAAGGAAGGGAAGCCACCAATGGACATGAAAGTCATGAACCCTGTGATGAATCCGCCGCAGGCCACCCTGGCCAAGATCGAAGTGTAGCTGTGTCCCAGGTCGTAGTAGATGGTCCCAACACAGATGGAGACGACGATGTAGATGACTATCCTGGCCCAGTAATATCCAATGTCTCTAGACATGTTGAGGAATGATCTTCTAGTCAGAGTTGAGAGTTGCTTCCACCAGCTTGCTGGGCTTCCTTTCCTAGTTACCACTTCCAGCCCTTCCTGCAAAAACACCATCATCAACCTCACATTGTAGACCAATCCATCTAATGTGACCGTGCTAAACAGATGTAGTGAGTGGAGTACTAGCTAGATTGGACAACTCACAATGGCTGAGATTTCCTTGATCCTAGCCTTGGTCTCTTTGGAGTAGTTGGACCGTTTGTACTTCTCAACCAGCCTGGATTTTATCTCCGCCGTCGCCATGTTCATGAAAGGATCTGATGACCCAGGAGCATCCTGCATTGAATCCAGGAACAAAATCAGAACAACCAACAAACACAAACCTGGGAGGACTGATGAATAGAATCAACATTCAACAGCAATGCATTGTAAATGAACTTACACGTATTCTCTGCGATCCTTTCAAGGTTGTCGTGACAGCATCAAAGTCAGAATTCACACAGCGCAGGAAGTGATCAGATGGGTTCCTCTTGCTCGGGCATGGAAACCCAGCTTGCGCGAAGAACTACAAAAAACAACACTGTGATCAAAGAAAGTGACCAACTTTCGGACAAGAGTACTTTGATTGACTACTGAGTCAAGATAACTATGTGCTAAAAATGTCAAAAGTGGGAACTAAGCTTTTACCTGGACAGCCTTCTTGGCCTCACCAAAGTAGACAATTTCCCCACTGGACAACAAGAACAGATCATCAAACAGAGCAAACACCTCGCTGCTGGGCTGGTGAATCGACGAAATGATCGTCCTGCCATCTCGAGCTATGTTCCTCAGCGTCTGGATCACGAAGAACGCCGAGGCACTGTCCAGCCCGCTGGTGGGCTCGTCGAGGAACAACAGCCTCGGCTTGGTGAGTATCTCCAGGGCAATGCTCAGCCTCTTCTTCTCGCCACCACTTATCCCTCTCAGATGCCAGTTTCCAATGATCGTGTCGGCACAATCCTGCAGCCCCATCTCCACGATCGTCCCCTCGACGATGTCCGATAGCTCCTCTTTGGGGATGGAAGACGGGAGCCTCAGCTTGGCTGAGTATGTTAGTGTCTCTCTGGCTGTTAGTGTTCCCATAAGCACGTCTTCTTGTGTTACGTATGCCTGAAGAAAAACAATGATGGAAATGGTCATTCAAAATAAGTTCTAGATAAGTTACTAATTAGAATCAGCTCATGCTTAACAAGTATGTCATTCATAATGTAAATGTTAACCTCTTCAGTCTTGCTACATGAAGCAACTTAAGTTAAGGTATGCATCATCGAGAACGAGAGGACGAAAAAACGATGATTTTCAACGTAGATAGCATGAATGACATGCGTAGCAAGCATTGATCGGTCCTGATTAGGATCCCAGTGGTGATGAATTTGGAAAAATGAAGGGGCTAAAGATACAAGAACGTAATGACTATGCATGCCATTGACTCAGAAAGAAAGTTCAAGGGGTCATTGGGAGCTACTTACAACACCAGTATCCAGCCTCCTCTTCTTGCCATTGTACAGAACAGTACCTGTCATTATCACATCTTTGGACAGTCTACCTGTGATGGTAATAATAACATCAGCAATCCTTTAGCAGTCATAAGAAAAAGCACCAATCTGTCAACTGTAATCAAAGTTTCAAGTTCTAGCTAGAAATTGTCCATGCTGATCTCTTTTTGCCCATGAAACCATACCAAAAGTTTTGAACCCAAGCCAATGGGAAGGATATCTATCTCTCTATCTATCTCTCCATCTGTTCATTCAGATCTGCCAGTGGATTGATTGTACAATCACCAAAAAAACAGAGCTAGGTGGCTTTGAATTTCAGCTAAAACACCCAAAGTGAACAACTTTCACCATCAAAGTCTTAAACTGAGGCATAATTGCAGGTTTCTGAAACAGGAAAAACCATGACTGAGAGTTCTGAATGTCTTTCATAATGGAATGATGATCCCTTTTTCTCCCCACCGAAAATGGGGGGAGTTTCCAGAAATAGGATACAATCCAAGTGCACAAAAATAGCATTTGGTTCCTATACAAAAGGAAACCAATACCCACAAAAGAAAATTTTCCAGATTTGGTTACCCCTTTTGGAGCTTTCCCAAAACAAAACCCCCAATCATAAAGATGGAAGCTTTCAGCATAAAGTTGGAATCTTTTGCCAAAACCCAACTAAAATAATACTTCTCAATACTCATTTTATGTTACTTGCCTGCAAGAGAATCAAGGAGGGTGGATTTCCCAGAACCTGAAGGCCCCATAATAGCCATGATTCTGCCAGGCTCAGCATACCCACTAAGCCCTTGAAGCAATCTCTTGGTTGGCTTGTTCCCAAAATTTGGCAGCACAACTGTGAGATCCTCCCAAACAAGGTATATTCCTCTGGAATTCAGACCATGGTGATGATCCATGGACCTCAACTCCTCGCCATCACCATTACTGGCATAGTTCTTGTTGCTGTTGCTGTTGCTGGTTGCAGCAGATTCTATCTCCATAGGAAAGGAAAACTCTAGCAGGAAGGCAGAGGAGAAGGGGAAATCAAATGGATTAGTAACATGCCAATACAGCCAATTGGTCGATTTGGTGTCTTTTGCTTTCTTTCTTTCCACTCTCTGATCTGCTAGTGTTTGATGTGTGAAACAACAGTTACCAAACAACTAACAACAGCAAACCAGTAGTGAATGAATGAATCCTGTGGTGTTGAAGAATGGAGCTGTCATGTACCATACGGTGAGCATGGTCAAGGTTAAGGAAGAGAAGAGGATAGAGATTAGAGAGAGAGAGAGAGAGTGGAGAGAGTTAAATGCAATAAATACATGATGCTTTTGGGGAAGAGATAGGAAGGGTTATAGGTGGGGAGGTAAATGCAATAAATGTTGAGGTGGTGATGGGCATGGCATAGATTGGCATTTTCGTGTGAATTGGCATGGTGCTTGTTTGTATAAATTTGACATTCATGTCACTTTTGTGATGGGTCTTGTGCCAACTTCCTGATAAAGAGAGGGGATGGAGGGAAACCAAAGTGGCAAATGGCTTCTTCAATGTTATCAAGTATCAACATTCAACCACCAACTATGAGGTTAGAGATGCTTAAGCCCTAGTTAGGGTTCATTCTCATGTCGGGTTCGGATCATTATTTTTAGATCGATCGTTGATACAAAAGGTTAACTTTATTTATACAAAAAAATGGGATATGTTGTAGGTATTGAATATCGTGTTTATGATAGAGGGTTGAAATTAATGGAAATAAGTAGTTATTACTAAAATTATAAATATGAATTTGAAGCATCTGTATAGGGTGATCGAGATCAACTTTCCACTTTTATAAGGAGAAAACTAATGTTATGGCGATCGTCGTCTAAAACGCTCGCGAAACTTTCGGTTTGAAGTTAGGTTGAACATCAAACCAATCGATTCGAGTTCCAACCCTAAGTGATTGTACTAGATTTTTCCCCCTTCCGTAATATGAACTTTCAATTTTATAACGGGAAACCACTTTCACGATGGTCCAACTTCATTGTGAAATTATACAACGAAATGAAAAATCTTACTTGAATCTACCCATAAAATTTATCGTACTCGTACATTCAATCGTGCATCAACCGGTTCGAGTTCTGGCATTAAAAGTTTCGACTATTAATTGATTTTTAATTTGTGGATGGATGGATTTTTCACCTTTACGCAGTATGAATCTTAACCAAAAGTGGATGGATGAAGTTTGCTACATGTGGATCGAAAATTCTACATACTGAACCTGTAAATAGGTGAAATTCATCAGTACAGCAAATGGAGTATTGGAGATGATAAATATATATAGGACAGTTTACAGCTTTACATGATGGGCCCAAGACATAAAAAAGAAACACATTTACAATTTACACAATGACAGTATATTTTACTACATTCAAGTCCACGACAGGCCCTTTTATAGGCCGGCCCGCCCCACATTCATACATGAACAGTTTTCCTTTTTTATTTATTTATTTATTTATCTCTGGTTTCCCATGCCAACATTCATATTCACAATCCACTGTTGTACACTTTTACTAGTTCTAATCAAGAACATCTTACAATTTTGTTTTTAAGTTTGAAGATGAGAGGTAAAAGAGGCATCTATAATTAATTCCTATACATGTTAAATTCTTATATAAACCTGGACTTTCTAGTCTCGGTATATTAGAGTCTGGATAATATTAGAAACGTCATGTCTTTTCAAAAAATACCAGTGAGATGAACTTCTCAGTCACAAGATAGCAGATAAAAAGTGGTTTTAGTATAGATATAAGTTCGATGTGTGTGTTTGAAATGCTGAATCAAAAAAAGCATTTCAACATAGTCTATCACAACACAGTTATCCTCTAAAACGTCTATCAGAAGTAAGAGAGTGAAATGCAACATTAATAACATTAATAAGAACGGTATATGTTTCATGTCCATTCATTTGTCACATGTTTTTTTCTTTTTCTACTTCCCTTTTTTTCATTTTCAAGAATCACATGGTTTACTAAAGAAAGAGCTTCTTAGTTTGCAGTAAATGACATAGAGAAAGGATTCTGGTAGGAAGTGAAGTAGGACGGAATTGAATTTGAGAGGGGGACAATAATGGCCCTCCGAATTCACTCCTGGTAAGCCATTACTCAACTAGCAATTAGCCCGGCTGTTGGGCCGGCTAAAAATAAAATGGATCAGTGGCCTAGCAATAGTTGGGCTAGAACGGCCCGTTCACGTTTAATGCCCGCATCATCGATCTAAACTATATCGTAATTTCGGCCCAAATTTTTCCGTAATGCTGAGATTAGGCCGCTGAGCCAAACATATAAGTCAGGCCCCACGTCACTTCCCAGACGTGTCCACGTAGCCCGAGTACAGTTACACGTGGACAGCCGCCTTTTCTCCGGCACCAATTACACTTTTTGGTTAGTTTGTTCACGAAGCAATGTACTTCCGTTTCGTGTATGTTGAGCTTAGTTTGTTGGGAGAGGTTCAATCGTGGATCTTATATCACTCTCTAACACACTCCTTCAAACAAAAGCCAACTTATGGGCTTGAAATTTGCACAGGCCCACCATACCATGTGCTTGAAAGACAATGGTTAATAGTGGGAGTCGTGGAGATTCGAACACATGACCTTTCGGTTCTAGGCTCTGATACCATATCAAGAACCAGTTGATCCCAATAACTCGAGTTGTTGGGAGAGGTTCAATCATGGATCTTATACCACTCTCTAACAGGGATGTCCAATCGAGCTGCCAAAGCAGAGAGTTTTAAGGAGAGAAGACTAATGGCATAAGGAGATCAAAACCTCTCCTCGTATTCCTTTCTCTAGCTCATGAGCTACTATTATTCTTTGAACATCTTGATATGCATGTCTCTGTATCATTTTTTTTAAATTTATCTCCTTGTTAGTTTTTGTCTTAAAACTCTCCCTTTCTCATCGTATGAAAAGAACTACTTAGTCTTAGATTTGGGGAAATTGAGAAGAAGAAATGAGACTTAGGATTGTAAATTGAGGAGAATTGGGGAAGAACGTAGGAGAAGCAGAGAGAGAATTGTGATTTTATAATTCTCACCCTTTTCAAGTAGCGTTTTCCAAAATGCAGCAAACTACTTAATTAATAAAAATGTCCCAATTGCCATAAAAGGGCTTTCGTCTAATTTGTTGGGTTTCTAACATTCTCCCTTTTAAAAGACCGACCTTGTCCTCAATGTCGAATGTCGGATACGTTTGTCGGATGGTCTCTGTGTCTCTCAGGTGGCATTCGCATGTCCCATGTGTTGCCAATGAATTAGGCTCTCCTCCATCAGTCGACCACCAATGCTAAACCCCTTCATGTCTAAACCTCCATCGATTCTAGCTCAAGTCCACCATCTTTGCATACAGGTAGTGGTGTGGGATGAAACACCTCTTCATTCTTGGAACTTGAGTTATCTCCCTCTTCCCTAAGACTGACAATGTTAGACTCGCCTACTTCTTGATTGAGCTCTTGATCGAGGCGAGCTATTAATAGCCGAGTAGCTGCAAAGTACCTCTTCGGACTCGGGGAGAAGGTTTGAAGAAGGTGGATTTGCACAAATTTTCATTGTGGAATGCTCTCCCTCAATCTTCCGAAGAAGTTTGCTAATTCAAACTCCAACCTTCCTCGAGGCTCCAGGAGTGATTGAGGATCCACTCATGGTATGAAGGGTGTTTTTCTCGGTAAGGTGGATGAAATTGATACCCATGGGGGTGTGTTTGATGATCGTGGAGAGAGGTTGATCTTGGATTACCAATTTCTTGGCTTGTATCCTCAATCGAAGCTCTGAGATACCACCAATTGGACAGTTGGTGATATTTACCGTTATTGTCGAATCATTGAGATTCACATCTACCCTAACTATATAACAAAAATAAAAACAACTTGTGAAAGCAAAAGTGTGAAAAGGAGAAAAGAAAACACTAACACAACCTAACACAAGATAACTAAGGGAAACATAACAAAAGAAGAAAGAATACATAAAAGAAAATGATAAAATAACTATAGTAGTAGTTCTCGGCTTTTCCTAATAACTTAACAGTTCCCCGACAACAACGCCAATAACTTGATGCGTCGCGGCGTCGAGCTTTAGATTTATAAACTCGATCTTCAAAACACTAATTAACGAATCCAAATCGAGCCAAGTATAAATCAAATTGGCGAGGTAGTATAGCGGGGACCAAGGTCGTCTCGAAGAGTCCGTGGACTTACTATTACTTTGCTCTAAACTACTATCTAATCAAAATAGAAAATTTGGTTTAAGAACTAACCTAACCTAACCAACTAAACAACCAACCAAGTGGTTGAGAGGTCGCTAGAGATGAAATGGTTGCCTAGGATCGAATCCTCCTTGTGGTGGACTAGGTAGTCGATTGAATTATATGGTCATTTGAAGTGTCGAGGTCACTTATGTGGGAATCAGTGCAATGGTCAAGCCACCGATCTACCTCTTAGCCAAGTTAACCGGTCCATCGTCACCTCAGCAGATCTTCCGGATTAGGGATAATTTCTACCTCCTTTAAATGGTTTCACCCATCAGCACACTAGGATGATAGGTCGATGGTCACACACCTACCTTCCTAGCATCAACTAGGTGGGGTCCTAATTGGTAGGGGATGATCACCTCATCCACCAATTAGGACCCTAGATCATCTAACCTAGGTTGAAACACTAATCATGCATAAACGATATATGGCTAATTCAAGCAATCATATAAATTCATGCATCCAAACCTCAATCAAAATCATTAATCACACTAATTGAAATCAAATCATACCATAGATATAATTGAATTAACAAACTCTAACTACATACTAGAATTCATCCAAACTTAGAAAAAGAAGAAATACAAACAAATAAGAGGGGAAGAAATTGTAGCCATCTTTTTCTTCTTGGACTGAACCTTCTCCTAGGCTTCTTATGGTGATTCCTCCTCCTTGAGCTCCTCCAATGACATTTCTCTCTCTAGAACTGCCCTAAAAATAGTAATTTCCCACTTTAAAATGCTCTCCCTTGTCAATTGCAGCAAAAATAGGAAATGCTAAACTGACACAGTAGTCCATGGTCATTGCATGATTTCACAATGAATTTTAAGGTTAAGTAAGTAAGTTAAGAGTGTAACTGTGGTACAACCGGGGTTTGGACGAATTGATGAATTAATGGTATCGTTGAAAGTTCAATTTAGTTGTTCCTTAAATTGGCAACTTAAGCAGTTAGCAACATTCAACAATTCAT